AAGCAACCATATCATTATTGGAATAATTCATTTTCTTCAGAACTTTACAGCTTCTATACCAAATGAAGCATCTATTGTGCAGTATCAAGTGCTTGTCTATCATCTTTATAACTTACTATTTTGGGAAGCACAGCTCATCCACAGAAGAAATTGAGTAATACAGACTAGCCACTTCTTCATTCCGCTTAACAAATTATTTGCACAGAGCAGTGTCTCCACTTTCAGTTCCTAATTTTTTCCAAAAAACTGACATGGCAAAGATCTTTCTCTTCCTTTTTTTTTTTTTTGGCACGAATTATTTCTGATGACCCTAACTCTATGTTTGGAAGTGCATCTAAAAAGAGAAAGCATTACTGGATTTAGACACCTGAACCATTAATCTCAACTGCTATGGATTGGGTATTATAAATCTGGAAGTAAGGATTAAAAGCACAGTTTAGTACTTCAAGCAGAATCCTGAAAAATTAGGTTCTATGTGGAACATTTGTCAAAGTATAATGTATTTTAAATGTCTGATGTTAGTTGCCTAGAGATGCCATGGGTGAAATATAGGCAGCATATAAACATTTTAAATAAATTAAATAAAAAAATAAAGTAGTTTGAGGAAAAGGGTCAGTTCAAGATGGCAGGAAAAGAGGCTCTGCATGATCAGGGTCCATCCTTCTAGGATGAAGGGCTATTGCTCGGCAGTAAAGACCATGCTTTGTAAAAGGCCGCCAGATTTAGTTACTGGCACATTCCATGGAGGTTAAACCCTGGGGATCTGCTGACCATCTGTGTAGACCAGACTTTCCCATCATGGCAGTCTCTTTCTTTCCTTTTTTTTTTTACTTCAGCTCCCATCAGCCACAAGCAATGTGGCCAATGGTCAGGAATGGTGTGACTTGTTGTCCAAAACATCTGGAGATCATTAGATTGGGGAAGGCTAGTGCAGACAATACTGACCTAGCTGGACCAGTGGTAGACCTCAGTAGAAGACCATCCATAAATTTGTATCTCAAATGCATCAGACAGGATCAAGGGGTGGTACAGATCACAATTAGTTCTCCAGTTTTAACACAGACCTACCAAAGAGTAAATGCTGCCTGAACACACACACACACACACACACACCAGCTTAGTGTGTGTGTTCAAAATATCCAGGTTAGTTATGAAATACCTGGATATATATGATGTATCCAGGAATTGATGTGGCCAAAGAAGCATTTTGTAGTTTGAGATCTTGACTTCCTGAGACTGATTAGGCCATATTTGCTCTAATATGAACCAAATAAAGCAGAAGAGAAGGCTCACAGATCTTAAACTATCATGGGGGTTGAGGTGTGGTGTCAAGGGCGGACATGATTGGACATCTGCCAAAGTCCACATGCCAGCAGGGGCCACTGACAAGGGCACCTGGACTTGCTGCTCTTCACTGCAATCTGCTTCTCCACCTGCCTCTCTCCTGGCCCTGACAATGGTGGAGCTCAGGAGGAGAACCAGGAGATGCTCTGCCAACTTGCTCCCTGCCTGCCAAGCAAGCAAGTGGTAGAATGATGAGAAAGAGGATGAGGAACAATGGCTTCCTGTGACAATGGTGGTCATAAGGAAGGCTCAGGGAGGAAGGGTACCCTCTGAGTATCTCTTACTCAAGAGCTTCCAGACACCTGGATCTAGCACTGTCAGTGACACTTTCTCAAGGCTGTTTGGCCACGTAATCTCTTTATGACCTCCATTGTGAAGAGAGCTTACATGTTTGTATGCTGAACTATGAAAGAGAAAAGCTAAGCAAAGCCAATGTCAAGGTGGAGAATTTTGAGAGCAACCCACCAATGAAGAGTTTCAAGTGATGTCCCAAAGATGAATAAGCTGAGAACTTTCAGGGGGCGAAATGCAAGACAGAGATGGCCCAAGAGTCATAGGAATGCATCTATGGAAGAGGACAGAACACTCTTTGGTCACGTCATTATGGTGGCTCAGTCTGAGAGCTTTCCATCAGCACAGACACAGCACCAACCTCTGGTGCCTCTGCTGCATTGCAGAAAATGGCCCAGGGCATGATTTCCTCTTAACTGCAAACAAACAAGCAAAATGAGCACCGATTGCACATCCAATGTAGGAGTTTCATACTGACTTAAAATTCTAAAATTAAACATGACTAAAAGAAATTAAAATTATTTTGAAATATCATAAAATTTATACACAGAGAGAAATTTTTAAATGTGGGATGTTTGATATTTTTAATGTGTTTGGGCATTTCTAAATATTTGAATGGGAAACCTTTTGATATTTTCAAAAATATAGAAATAAAGTGCAAAATTTAAAATATATAAAATGGATGAACTGGGTGCAGTGTTGAGGGTCATTTTGCTTGTTTGCTTAGAGCACTCCACTATGCGCAACTCATCACCTGCATAGCCATCGATGCTTACTGGGTCAGTGGTCCTTTGCTTCTATGCTCCGACTTGGTGAATTAGACAGAAGCAGGGAGAACTACAGGGCTGCTTCCAGGCAGAGAGCAATTCATGTAGAAGTGACTCGAGTGAGTTCTGTGGCCACAGACTCAGCAAGATAACAAGAGTTCACTCATAGACTCCCTTCAATAAGTTTTTGCTAACAGTAGCCAACATACAGTTGCCTTCTTCCTATATATCAAAAGACATGGGGAAGCTATTCCATTGTTCCCTCCTTATCAGATGTCCAGCAGTAAACAGATGGAAGAAGTGGAGGGGAAGCACAAGAGGGATACATTGGAGGACAATGATCTCTGGACTGTCCATGGAATTCAAAGAATGTGGCAGGGCAATAAAAGCCTCTTCTGGAGGTTTTGTTGATCTCTTGATGTTCCTACATGACCTACACCTACCTCACTATCTTTGGCTAAGCAAACACAATGATGAGGAAAGAAGATAGTCAAACAGGCCGTGTTTTCCTCCTGGTTGCTAAGTAACCTGGAGGAAGGGAGGGTGGAATCTTCTGGAGGAATCTTCTGCTAAGCAATAGCTTGAGGAAGTAACTGTCAATGATAGCTTAATGAAACAAACCAGAGACTGAGAAAGGGTGTAGCATTGATTGGGTTAGGCAACATGATAATCCATACTCAAGGGTTAAGTATGGCTTCTGTGTGGGTTGTCACTGAACCATAAGTTGTTCTTAAATGTGGCTTGTCATATCATCTGAACACAGATGTGCTAGCAAGTCATAGCACAAACAACCCATTAAGAGAACCCATGATTTGTTCTTGGGTTGTGATCCATGGATCGTTCACCATGGTTATTGGTCTTTTTTGCTTTTCTTTTAAAATCTCAGCTGACAACACAATAACACATGCTTCAATGACAACTCTAATTTAGGAACAATCCTTGAATGAGGGTTATTTTCCTGACCCAGCCAGAGTGTTCCAGGGAGAGGGAAGGGGATGTATAGGATACTGAAGTATAATGTTTTGTCAGCTAGTTGACCAAATGACCCTGGACTCCTAATTTCAGACAGTGTGAGGACAGTCTGAATGGGAGAGGCACTGAAAGACAAATCTGCCAGCTCCAGGATGTAGAATGGAACCAGGGATCAGGAGAGGAATTACTAGAAGTTTCTGAAAATGGCAGCCTTTATATTGGGTCTTGGGAGACTATTGAAATGTTAACATAATGTTGACAAGATTGTTCTGTTTGGAGAATCACTTGAAATAATTGAGATGCTTGATTCACTGTCTTGCTCAATTCATTATCTCTGTTACAAATAAACAATCTGTAATTTTGAGATCATCAACTGTGTGCTCTTCTAAAGAAGCAAAGAAATCTCTACAAAGTTTTAAGCCTTAAAGTTTCTGAGAAAGGCAGGGAAATGTGTCAACTGGAATTTGGATAGTTTAGCAGGTAATGCTGTCACAGTGAGGTTTCTGATACAATGCATTCATGCATACATTTCTATAATTTTGCATTTAATGGATCTACCTGGTTTAGTACTAAATGAAAATTATTCACCTGTACAAGATATATGAGATGGATGCAAATGGGAGGTGCCATTTTGTCATCTCAGGATATACAAAGAAAGCATTTACTTCCATTTCCAATGGCAATATAGCCAGCACGCAACCTGAACAGGTAGTTAAGTGCACAAGCTGAGCACGGCCTCTGTTGCCACATGCTACTGATCAGACCTCTGCACGTTGAGCAGCAAGCTGATTTCTCAGTTTGATCAAGAATCCTGATACTAAAGGATCAGGGACCTCTTGTGCCCCAATTTCTCCAGCCACAGAGTCCTGCTCCTCAACATTCACAACCACTTGGAAGGGCAGGAAAGGGCTTGGGGCCTGAAAGCTGTCCCTTTGTGGAGGTACTTGCTCCTTGGCCATGAGGAGTGAAGGCTGTTAGTATGGTCCTGGATGGAAATCAGGCAGGTGTCTACCATCCCTTGGCCTTGAAGATCCTAAGTAATATCTATTCAGGGCTGGAAGCTGCACGTGAATGTGAACATGAATTTACAAGCATGCACACACATTCTCTCTTTCTCTCCACACACACACACACACACACACACACACACACTTTCCCTCAAAACTCAGAAGTGTGACCTGCAAGTGTCAGTTTCTGCAATGTCCTTGTGGAAGTAGGTTCTCTCCACATTGGATACTGTAGCATCCTTAAAGAAGCAGACCTTGACTGCAGATTCCTAGAGCTGTGGTGACAGAAAATTAGATGGGAATCATTGGAGCTACAATTAACATATGGAGTCATGGATGTGTTCTTGCACTCCTGGTATAAGACTCCAGTTAAAGTTGAGAATTGGTTAGAACAAATAGTTTGCTCTTGGTGATCTGTCCATGGTCCTGTAAGCCATGTCTGTAACCATTCTTTGTGTTTCTCCAAAACTCAGATCTGTATTGTCTTCATGCCTTTGCTCAACATGTGAATGTCTCTAGGTGCACAGGGAACATGGGGACCTTACCCTCCATGTTTTAGGGCTGATGTTAAGATACATGGCTACCACACATTTTTAGATAGATGGAAACATACAGGAAATTTCCTTTATTATTTTTTATTTCTGTGTTCATATTAATACATGTGCCATTTTATCACACGAACAATGAGATGGAATAGAAACAGGAAGAAGAGGGAAGGATAGATGGGCAATGCAAATAAATACCTGAGAGGCATGTGAAGGGGAATTAGAACAGCAAGAGAATTGCAGTAAGCGTGCCTATTTAAAAAGCTGAGGCGAAACTTCCCTCAATATTCTAAGAAATGCTGAGTGCTGGAGCGACGGGTGGAAGTGCAGAAAGACTGGGTGGAAAGTGCTCAAAATCCAGGTGACAGAACAAGGCAATGAACTGCACCAGAAAGAACAGGTGGTTGGTTCCAAAGACAGTGAGAATGAAGCACCAAGCATAAACAGTGTCTCAGGAAAAACTTTATGCACACTACAGAAAGAGGCAAGTGCTGCTTGAAGTTGGAAATAGTTATACAGGAAGCAAATATATGAAAATGGCATCGACAAAAGCTAAGTTTTATCCATTAATTTGGACAAGACCAATTGTCTTCAGTAAGTAAATTTCAGTTGCTTTGTTCTTCAAGTGTTGGTTAAGCAAATCTGTTAAAAAGCAAATTTCATTCAAGTTTCAGCTGCTGGAAAAAACACCAAAAGTTTGAAAGGACCTTTCATCTAACATGCTTTGTAAATGCAAATTCCATCAGCTGACAGGGGATGACAATTAATGGAATCTGAGCAGAAAAAGAGGGAGAAGGAACTAATTGCTCCCTATATGTTCTATTCCTGAGGAAAATCACTGTTCTTCAGCTGCTATTTGCTTTACAAGTACATCCTTCTTCGAATGAGACTTGAAGTATCTTAATCCATAAGGAATACAAAGTTCTGTGTGGAACAGGCTCAAGAAGACCTATCTCCCTGTGGAATTGTGATTTCAAGATCTTTTCAGTTATCTTCAGTAACAGGATTGAAAATATTGTAACTAAAACAGTACATATTGAATGAATATACTTTAGGAATGGACAGAAATTGTCAGATAATGTTCTAAAAAGATATCATTCAATACATATTTCTAACAAATCATCACTGTTTTAAAATTAAAAAGGCATTGACTAGAGAAAAATCACTTTTTAACCATCTAAATATACTTAGAAATACTGTAGATTATGGGAATCCTTTATGACCCTTTTGTGCTAAACCCAATTGATTAATCAAGCAATCTGTTTCCCTGTTCTCTCAGTTCTTCAGGCAGAAGTATTTAAAATATTTTAAAGTAAAGAAGTATTTTCTGAGAGCTATGTGCTAATGAATGGAATGTAAAAGCCTAAATACAAACATGCACTATAAACAAGCTTGAGATATCAGATCTTCACTTGAACTAATATTAATTCTAATGGAGGTGGTGGTTATGATATGCAACCTTTGTGGCTGAACTAGGAATTACTTACTTCTTTAAACACATCTTGGATATATCCATATCCCCCTTACACATTGCTTTCTGAAAGGTGCTGATAATGGGTCTTTGCGAAATCCGGGTTTACAGTCAAACTCCATCCAGTAATCTGATGCTCTCATGGATGTTGACTTAGTTATCCACCTCAGTTGTATATTATTCTGCTCCATTTCAAGTTCATTTGCTCTGCAGGTTTCTGAAGTAAAGAACAAATGATTAACCAGTTATACACAAACCTGATGGTGGAGGATTCTTGCTAAATGTATATGGGCCTGGTAGCAAGAAAGAAAAGTGATGTCTGGCACAGGTGCGATTGTCAACAGCTGCAACTGCACAGAGCAAAGAGCAGGGTTTCCTCTCATGGCCTTCATCCTGCTGGGCCGGTGCATTGACTTTCTCTTGCATAAAAGTAAACAATTGCCATTCACTACAGAAAAGAAAATCCATGTTTTGAAGGACATGGGACAGTAAGGGCAAATCCTGGCTGGGATTCCACAGAAAAAAGCCATCATTGGGGAGCCAAGTACAAGACTGTCCAGAGTCAGAGACTGTGCACTTACGGACACATCTGGGCACACCTCTCCATTGACCGTTGAAACACCTTGCGAGTGGAGTGCCTTCCATTTCAAACAGTCTGTAGCACTGATAGATCACAGATGATCCTGATGAGAATTCTTGCCGTGAGGAGGTGAGGAGCATTGCATTAGCAATGGCAGGTGGAGGACCACACGTTCTTGGGACCTCTACAGTGAAAACACGGAGTAGGATGACATATTAAGGAATGCCCATTAGCTGCCAGTGCCAGGTTGAAGGTACCACAGAACTTATGCCAGGAAAATGAAAGACCTGCAATGGGAAAATCCTCTTGGTTCTGAACATGAATCTACATGGGGGGCAGCTTTTTTCCTATCAAGTTTTGAAAGGTGTAGTATAGTACATACACTACACCACACTGGCTCTCATTAGGAGTAACTCAGTTAGTAGAATCTCATGCAGCAAGTTTAGCAAAGCCCTCTGCTTATGCATGCAAGTAGACATGACGCGGTGAAGTCACCAATATGTTTCCCATCGATATATTTTATTTTACTTTTGCATGGCCAAAAATGGAATACCAGCTTGGGGAAGGGGGAGAATTCAGATTGTGATTTTGGAGGGTTTTCTAGGAAATAGAAAAATTGAGGAGAGCAGCTAATCTGACAATCTGCATTTATGACAGTAGAAAACGCCATCGGAGTTCATATTCCTTTCTTATGCACCTGGACTGACAGCCCAAATGTAGCTAAAGGATCAAGATCAGTGCCCCCTATAGGAGTTTGTGCTGGATGCTTGTGCTTCAGGATGGTGCCATCCTGCATCCTACCTGGCTCAGTCAGAAGGTTCCCCAGGTCCTCATAAGGAACTTGAGCCTGCTGGCTTACTTTGACTGAAAGAGAAAACCAAGGAATGAAAAAGAGAGTAATAAGCCACCCCATCATTTAACTTTCTAGGTGGGGTGAACAGAATGATTTCATAACAATATCAGTAGTCACCTATTCATTTCTGCACTGGCAATCTCTAGTCTTCTTTTTGTCCTATGAAAAGCAAACAGAAATTGTAGCAGGGGCTTCTGAAGGCAGGTAAGGGTTAATGGAGGAATCCATTGGTCCAGGAGTAGTTGATGCACCAGAGCTTATCACAGAGGAAGAGTTCCTGCCGAGGACATTGGGCTGGTATTATTGCTCTGAGTTTTAAAGGGTAAGTTTCTGGCAACCAGGGAGCAGGAGGGAGAGGAGCATCCTGGGATTGGCTGCTAGGCACTGCCCTATCACCAGGGCTAGGGGACTAAAAACCCCAAACCTCAGAGGCCTTTTGTATCCCATGACCCTAATTCTTCCAGAGAAGTCTGTTCCTGGCTAGCTACTGAGACGATCACTTTGAAAACACCCTTGTTAGGTAGAATAGGATCTGCTTTCTTGTTCTATTCAGCTGGTGCACCCAGGTACCTGGGATTGGGAAACCTGAGAGCTTTGGCACTAATGTATTGCTGCTGTTATCCCTTTCCCTCTTCTTTTCAGCATCTGTTCCCCCTCTCCCTTTCCTCCTTGTTTAAAGGAATGTTTAACTTTGATTTGTTGTTCAAGTGAGTTATGGTGCTAAATTTGGTGTCCAGACTACAGAGCTGAGTCTACTAGCAACAGAAGGTCCAAGAGAGATTCTTCTGGGTTTCCATTACAGAAACGATCTTACCTCATGATCCACTGAGATCCACACTTTTCCAAGACAATTGTCCTGCTTTTTCTGATGTGGGTGGGGAATAGGCCACCATCAGTATCTGATTGCAAGTACCCAAGAGGAACAAATTTAACACCAAACTCACTGATGTGACAGTGGTTACTTTCCATTCTCTCGAATTATAAACCTCTTTCAGTTTAGCCCTGCCTTATGAATTCCTAAGACTTTGAAAGTAGATTGACCAGCCTATCATTTACCTATTTACTTTTAATAAATATTTAAATATATCACAGATTGGTATATTTATTTAATATAAACATTTGTAAATACATCCTTTATTTTTAAAGGAAATATGCCAGTTAATGTCTTTACCAATTAAAAAATGCTGGATGTTTTAGACTGGGTTGCTGAGCTCACAACCTTTTGGTGGTGAGCACTGAAAACTGAGGACAAACCATCAGGTCCCACATTCAGACTTGTTCGCATTGTGAAAAAGGAATCTGTCCCATTCCATTAAAACTCCAAACTGGATAGCAACATTCACAATGAGATGCACATCAGCTAAGACTCTTTCTGCATGTCCCAAGGTCCAGGAAGCCAAGAGGTAGCAGCAATATGCCCACAGACCTGCCAAGGGTGGGAACCCCTACCCTTAAGAAACTATCCCAGAAAATATGTTAGACTGCAATAAGGAAAATCCTTCTGCTTTCCAGTGACATGTTTGGTTTTTACAGTACTCCTCCTGAAAGAACAGCTTTGTATCATTTATTTCCAAAAACTTTCCCCTGCCTTTCTGAAATTATACTTTTTAAAAACAGCCCTAAAAATCACATTTTCCTCAACAGAGAGTTGTTTTACTCACACCAGAATAACTTACCATCTTGGAAGGAGCATGTCCATAGAAGGGACAGAAGGATATAACTGAAGCAGTTCATGACTGCAATCTAAGCAGTTGACAATGTTTCTGCGTTGCAACATTTGGTTGTTTAATAAATGCCTTCAAGGGCTGTCCTTGCAAAGGTCTTTCACCTTCTCTAGTTCCACCAAAGTAATTATTTACTCCTGGTCATATGGCAAAGTCCACCATGATCCTTTCATTGCTGCAAACAATATGGATGATAAAGTAGTTTTTGAAGAAAGAACATAGACATTTCAATTCAAGAAGGATGATGCAGACATTCATGTGAAACAGGTGGGAGAACACTTCTGGACACAACAGCAATAGAACTCAATCTGTATAGGAATTTTAGCATCCTGAAATGACACAATATACGTAGGTGCCCAGTGATCCACCTCTTTGGTGTAATGCTGTTAGCAGAGGGGGCATTTGGAGTAAACAACCAGCAGAGAAGAGAATGTTTCTGAATGTTGGACTTCACTCCAAATCCCATCCCTTTTGGAAGGGTAAACAGATGTTCATGACTCATTGTAGGAATAGTACTTGGGGGTTATTTGATTGATACTGAGAGCAGCTATACGTGGGGAAAAGATCAAACAGTTCCAGCTTCTCACCACCATGCTTTCTCCAAACTGCCTTTTCCCCACACTACTTCCTAGCAAGGATGCAAGTTGCTGGATGTTTATTAATACACCTACAATTTTGCCTGTAATATTTATTTAACAGTGCAGTTCTAAGATGATGGGTGTTAATCTCACTAAAACATGAGATTGGAAACACAAAGAGATCACCTATACTCTCCCACCAAAACAAATATCTTGCATCATCCATTAAAAGATGATGGGCCAGAGGTGCCATACACACACAGAGACACAAAAAGTTGTCAAATGCTTCCCTGCAGCATATTCAGTGTAAAAAGGCATGCAACACACATGTGCAACTAACATTCATGTTACACTAGAATTCGACACCTTGGCTTGTATTCTATTATCCTGGTTTGTGTGCTGTTTCTATGTAGCAGATGGCTGATTTCCAAAACTACATTATTACTTGCAATTTAAATGCTGGCCTTCCAACTGTTTACCAATTTCCTGCTCAGCCATTCAAGGGCAGCCCTCCATTTTGACCCTTCACCGTGGCTTTTCCAGCATCCAGTTTTGCAACCAGCAACCACTTATTTTATATTCATTCACAAGGATATTCTGTTATTTTTGCATCAATTGAAAAATTATGTTTCTCAGCAACTGGTCAGGAATAAAATTACCATCTCCAACCACAGAAATGAGAGAATCTCTAGTAGTACCTTTCATCTGTTCCAAGTACCTGTTAAAGAAGTCTTTATACCAGGGGTGCAGAACCTCACACCTGGGGATGACCTCTGTCCATCTCAGACTCCCCAGATGGACGCGTCTATCTTTCCTACCCCCATCATCTTTGCTTGACCACCAGCCATTGGTGGGTCCCTGGCTTTTGTGCAGTTGTTCCCCTTCCAAGGTTGAACTGGCTCCCCTGAGCCTTAGTTACTTGCAGTAAGAGCTGGTACATTCAGAGGTGGTACATCCCCTTTACTCCCCCCACCCCACCTCTAGCATGTAGCCCCCAAGAGCTTCTCCAAAAAGAAATTCAACGCTCCATCTGAAAGAGGCTCAATGCCTCCCCTGCTTTCTCCATATTAACACATGTAAAGAAACACACTTGTGAATTTGCTCCATTGCTAAGAAATTCTGCTCACTCCTTTCAGCCTTGCACATTAAGATATATGACAATGTAACTAAACCAGGGGTTTCAGTCCTTTTTCTGTTTCTCCAGCTGTCCTCTTCTGATGTTTGGTTCTTTGAAGTTGCTTCTGTGCTGGCTGTTACCAAGATAAACACATTTTGCTATTCTTCTAGACTCTTATCTGGTATGAAGGTTTAACTTGGGTAAGATATTGGTGTTGTTCACACTAATCTTCTCACACAGACACAGAAATGTTCCAGACCCACACCACACAGATCTCCTTCAATCAACAGCTGTGAATAATACTTCATAAGCGAAAGATCTATTTGTATAATCCCATTCCCAAGGATTTTCTTTGGATGAAAATTTTCCTTGATATCATGTTGAAGAGGAATATAGCACAAGATGGCTTGCTAAGTGATGTGTGGCTTTTGCATCACAGTCATTCTTTTCAGGCTGCCCCACCCACACTCGTTCCCTTTGTTCCAAGTATTTGCACTAGCATTGCCTATGCGGTCCATGCAGCCACGCTTCTTTGCCTTCTCTTAGCTACCGTTGCAAATCATTCTACAAACACCAAACCTTTCCTAATGCACCATTTCTTTTCTTTTCAGCCACATAATGAAATCTAAATAGTAGAGCAGGAAAATGCCATGAGTCTACTCTATTTGATGGATGCTGCAACGTTGATCTATAGAGTGGAGCCCCAGCTGGGCACTCCTCAATATATCGATTTATTCAGGACAGACAACAGAAACGGTGACTGTGCAAATATTAACTGCATGACAAACACAACAAACTCTAACCTTGTTTGTCTGCATGTGAGTTCATATCGTGTCTAGGTTGAGAGCATAAGCTGGAAGCAAGGAAGCTGCATCAGAATTTATTGTAAGCAAATGATCTCTCTCCTCTCCATCTGTGATATGGAGATAATGGAATCATACCGAGGTGCTGCACAGATTCATGAGAATGTATGTGAACTGTTTTGAAAAACAAATGTTAGATACTGGTGCTGAAATGACTGATGCAGTACAGTACAACTGTTGATTCATGAGTTAGTCTCAATCAAGCACAATAGCCGTCCCAGATTTATCACATCTGCAATTATTCTTTGACCTTGTCTGTTTGTACCATTTTATTCCAATAACTTGCATGAGCAACCGGACTAAACTCCAGTTCACACAAGCAAGTTCATTATTAAGTAAAGACAATATCAAGCAGCAGACAGAATGTATGAATGAATGGTCACACATCAAAAAAGTATGGCTTATTTGTGCCATATGAAACCTCCCAGTGACTCCAATCGACACAGTAAGCAGTTTAAGCTCACTGTATGTTTCTTTAGAAGTGATATGCGTGATATGAAGAGAGGTGTTTAACCCTTCCCACCATCCAGAACATCTCCCCACTGTGGCCCTCTCTTAGATGCTTCTTTCCCAGCCAGGGAAAACTGCCATCTGGGAATGTTTGGTATTTATTCGCTATAAGCTGCAGTGTGTAGTCCAAAATCACTAGAAGTACAGAGTATGTCTTTTTTAAACTAGCTGAGGAGAAGCCTGAGGAGAAATTTTAAGCATCCATTTTAAGATCAAATTTTCAGATCTCCACCTAACCTCATTGAGCGAAGAACTTGTTGCAGTATTGCAACATCCACATCTCACACTCCTGACTCCTAATAGACATGGCAAGACTTGTGTGATAGCCACAATTTTTACGTCCTTTTCCCACATCACACATATATTCCTGAGTGCTATTGCTGGGTGTTGCTAGCTTGAGGATGTGGCAGAGTTATAAATGAAGAGGAGATGTGCTCCGAGAGACAGACCTTTAAAGTTTGCTTGTTTTGTGTCTGCTTTTAGCAGAATTGGCTATGTGCACGTACAAAGGTGAAGACTGAAAAAAAGAACAATGACAGTTCTCCCTGCCCTTTTCCCAGGATATTATAGGGAAGAATGATGTATGCTCCAGTCCTTCAAGCCAGTGAGACCAACACCCCCTTTTCTCCACCCAAATTAAACAAGTTCAGCTCCTTTCTGTGGGGACTTTCCCATCAGTCAGCTCCATGAAAGTCACTGTAATTTACTTGTGAGTAAGGCCATTGAAATATTGTGTTTACTGCTGAGTAAGCATGCATTACAACTAGCTGTTTCTTAAGCAAGAGGACACCACAAACATGATCATGGAGGGGGATTTGCAAGTCTGAGATTAGTCCTGGGTGGTGTGAGGGTGGTAGGAGAGCAACTGAAGGATCTTTGAGTGGTTGCACCAGTTTGACCATCATCGTTATCCCAGGAGACTTGAGTGCCTTGGCTAAAGTGGCTTGAGGCAGTAAATGACTGAGCCAAGCGTCATGTTGGAAACCATCTTGCAATGTAGAAAGAATTCAAGCATCATTTTCCCCTTGTTCCCTTTTACCTAAAAACAAAATAGATGGATTGTTAAAGCTTAGACGAACCGGTCAAGTATAACCAAAACCCCAAGGCATGCTGTTGGGTACAGAAATCAATACAAAGTAGCAGCACTGCTCATATGCCTAAAAGAGAAGGGTTTGTAAACACCAATTCCAATCTTAAGCTGGACACATTCTGGCCCCGCACAAATACTGTTCCAGTTAAGTGCTTGGGAGATCACATGTCTTGAATTCGCTTCCAAATTCAAATGTTCCTACAAAATGAAGAACTAGCAATTTAGTTCCTAGGGTGGCTTAGTTCCTCCCACTATATTATATTTTAAAGATTTAAATATTGTATTTTAGCCTCCTTGAGACTATGGTAGTAGGAGGCACATAAATGAAAGTATAAATAAATAAAGTATAAAATGTCCACATCTCAAATTCTCTTCACATGTGAAAACACAAGAGTCCCTAGATGTGTGTGTGTAGTACAGAGTCAATGGTGAAGGATGGTGCACTTTGTAGGCAAAAACATTTGAAGAGCTTACATGGCCTTTTCCTGGCATAGACCATGCTATGCCACATTATGTCCATGTTGCAGACCTGGGACAGGTCTCAGGTCACACACAGGCTCATTCACATTATTTTTATTATTATTATTATTATTATTATTATTATTATTATTATTATTATTATTACATTTCTATGCCGCCCTTGCCGAAACCTCGGGGCGGCTTACAACATGATAAAATACATTGAAATACAATAGTACATAATAAATTACCATTAAATATAAAAATACAAAAAATACATTGATTTACAAAAATAAAATTAAAATTATCAGTATAAAATAAAAATATAGGAGGAGAAAGAGAAGGAAGAAGGCACCACATGAAACTGGTGGTGCCTCACTAGTACTGCAGTTTGACGTATGCAAGAAGAAAACCTCCCCATTTTGTGATGATAGAGTAGCTTACCCTTGCATATCAATGCAACGTGGATACAACACTGTCCCATTCCGACACTGTACCCTAAAATCAGACTCTGAAGTTGAATATTGTCTGACATGGTATGGTTTGCAGATAAACTCAACAAATTCTCCATGTAGAAAATAAGGACGGTTGTCAAAACTCCATCTCATATCCAAATTATTCTTTGCCATCTCTTCATGGGATAAGATGCATGGCTCTTTAGAAAGCAAAAGCAATATTAATATTTTCTAACGATACCCTGTAGATCAGTTGCATTATGATTTTTACAGAGAATTCTGCCATACCCTATCTGTTTAAAAGCAAAAATTAATAATCAACTACAACAATAGCAAGCTTCCAAGTTGTCAGTCATTTCCATTTTGAAACTCAGTTAGATGATTAACCAGAAAACAACTGGTCATGTATGTGGCAAAAATCTTTATCATGTGGAACACCATTTTACAATAATAGGGTAGTATTTGAAATCCTTTATTAAGCTCTGAAAATTGCATATTCTTGGGGAAAGGATGGGTGTTCCTAAATAATATAATGCATATTTTCAGTGCCAAGTGCCATAATTAAGCAAACTTGCATGTAATTAATTACCTTGTGGCTGCTCATTGGCTTCTCTTTAAAATGGTATAAAAACATGAACAGTTTTCTAGAATGGACTCAGAATTATTTGGATCATGGGAGGCTGTAAGCCAGAGTACTGGCCCATCTGACTTGGAATTGTCTATCCTGCTGGCAACAGCTTCCCAGAGCTTCAGACAGGAGCCGTACCGAGAAATACCAGGTATTGAACCCGGAAGCTTCTGCATGCAAGGTATATGTTTTCCCACTATTTGAAGCTACAGTGGGAGAATGATAGCTGTCCTTGGTGCCATTTTTTAGCAGAAAGGCGATAAATAGATGATACGAGTCCACTTTTTATACTCGAAAAATGTCAAATGCTGTCCTAGATCTTACTGAGCAACACAAGGCTTAGTGAACTGACAATGAATCAAGTAAACTTGGAAAATATCATATTTTTATGATGCTCGAAAATGAGCAAGAATGTGCAATACCTATGCAAATTGGTGGGGTGGTCCATTGACCTCTTGAGCAAGACACTGTTCTGGACCCTTGCAAAAAGTGATATTCATGACAGCTGTACTCTGCGGATGAACCAGGGGCATAGTCTGTTCCCACCAATCTGGTAAGAATTCCATTTCTGATGGAAGGTGGAGGGCCACAGTTTTCACTTGGATCTGCAAAATGAGAAATGCATGCACTGAAAAGAAGTGAGAGAAAGCAATCCTAGATAGGTGTTTGTGACTAACACTGAACAACAATGGGGATGGGTGCATGATGCAAGAAATCCTACATCTTGTTATTTATGTTATTGGGTTTGGCTGACTGTTTCCAAATGATAATTTCAAGAAGTTTTGGATGCCAGTCTATCTACCCACAGTCGATCAATGTACTTCAAACTGAACATGCAGAAACTTCTGCAAGGAGGATCATATTTTACCTCTTAAAATACACTTTGGATATCTCAATTCTCCATTAACACATTGTACTAGCAGCTGAGATTCACTGATAGATGGTGGCAAAACATATCCTGGTTTACACACAAATTCAATAACTTCACCATGTAAAAAATTTAATTCTTCCAGAGTCCATTTCAGTTCTATGTTGTAAATGCCAACAGTTTCTTCATCAATCAAACATGGTTCTGCAAGACAAATATCAGTACTGAAGAGTGCAATCCTATGCATGTTTAGAGGGAAGAATTTCATGGAATTCCCAGGGCCTGGAAAATTAGGTACCCAATAATTTCCCAACCTAGCTGGCTCCAAATGCTTATACTGATTGGCATTTGTGGGGAGGTTATCCTAAGATTTCTGGTTGATTGTGCTTTCTTCTTCTCTCAGAATCCCCTTGTAGGTACACTGAGGCATCCAAGCCTAATGGTGATCAACAGTGTCATGTCCATCAGACTGAAGAACATGGCCTGCAAGGCCAGCACCACAGACATATCTTCAAAATAACTAGTCCATACTTTTGATGGATTGTTCCTATTTCGGCAACTCCATTCATAAAGCAAAAGTTCATTGAGCTTGACTGCTTGCTTATTTCTCGTAAAGCGGTTCTGAAGCTCACACTTGGTATCTAAACACCTTCAATTGTGCATTCAGTTTCAAAATTGTAGGGAAAAGAAAATTCCTGGCAATCAACAGTAGCTATGCTTTCAAAAGGTGTTCATGGCAAGCCATTTTTATAGGATCATAATGCATGGCCTCATTTGAAAACTAAACTTGCTATGTAAGGCACAATGATGGCACATAAGTCCATTTATGAATGGATGCTCAAGTTACCCAACTGAAAAGCATTCAGGGCAAAAACACAAGGTTCTCTGTCTATGCCCCTAGGAATGAATCCCTTCTAAGTGAGACATCTCACCAATTCTTATAGATCCAAGGCTGACACCATCTCGTGCATCTTTCCAGAGTGGCAAATGCAAAGAACTGCATCAACAACATTGAAGACCATGCAGCCAATGGCAAGAACAGCAAAATTATGCTGATTTATTCAGTTACTTGTTTTTCACAATAGAAAACCCACCATTTGCTGCAAACCACCCAGAGAGATTTGGCTACTCGGTGGCATAAAACAGTAATAAATGAATAAAATGAATGGGACCAGAAACCCAAGAATGCACCATGTTTGCAATCCTTGGTGAAAATGGCACTGCTGTAGACTTCAGTCTTTGCAAAGGTGTTTTGATTAAGAGGCACTGACAGAGACTCAAGTCTATTATTATTCCAGATCCCATTGCCCATTCCCTGAATTTCCATGACGAACTGTCACCAAGGTTCCAACAAAGCATTGTTCTGTGGAATGTTAGGACCTAGGTATGATCACCCCTAATTAAATCCAGAATTTCACAAGATACCCAGTACAAGGTGGTAAACATCTAGAGCAAAAGTGTACAACTTGTAACCCTCCAGATGTGCTCAGCTGTACCTCCCATCAGCCTTAGCCAACATAAGTTGAAGGGGGATGTGGGCTATAGGCCTAAATGCCCAGATAGCCACTAGCTGTTCACCTCCAGCCTAGGGGTTCAGGATTTGTGTTCTGGTTCCATCCTCACCAGCTCTATTCTGCCACTTCCATGTTATAATTTGTGCAATTGCTTTGTTCTTCTACAAAACTTACCTGAACAAACGGGTGGCTCTGTCCAACTTCCATGGACACAGGTCACTGCTTTTGGTCCTTTCATAACATGAAAGCTGACACATCTGTATTCCACTAAAGAACCAGTTTTGTAGCTTGTCATCCATGGATTAACTGCACTAGTAATCAAACCATGTTTAACTACAGGAGGAGAACTGCAGTTTCTTTCCATTTCTGGAAGGAGTGGAACTTCCATATTTTTTGACCTGCCGGTGTCTGGGATCAGAGGAAGAACTGACAGAAAGAAAATCTTATTACCAGTGATGATTATGCAATTTGCTAAATAATCATATAATTAACACCTATAATCTCAAGCTTTTATTTTATTTTTTTTCATCTTTACAAGCCACCTTTTCATCTTGCTGAATGAAAGGCTCTATGAGATTCTGGGAGATGGCTTGGAAAATCCAGATTTCACTACAATGAAGGTCTTGGCTGCACATCGTACAAATCTACCTCCTGCTGCTTCCTTAACTGGAAAAAGGATACTTTCTATATTAAGACCATGGAGGGATTTTTGCAAATTTTTACATGAAAGCAGCCAATCCACAACTCTTGAAGTGACATGCAGATCAAAACTTAGGTAACCTCTACGTTTCCTGTTTCCCTGATACAATTCTTGCAGTTTACATGTATCCAAACAGGCATTTGAGCATGTGGTTTGGGAGAAAATGTATTGATATCAAACAGTTCTGATCAAGGATGATCCAACATTTAAAGCTCTTTTAACTTCAGTTTCAAGAGGGGCTTTTGATGCAACTAACCAGTGCATTTGGGAGGCGAAGTCCACTTGCCATTCTCACAGCGGATTTCATCCGATCCTCTGATCTGAAAGGGGGGCTCACACTGCAAATGTAGTGTATCTCCATGATGGAATGTTCTTAAAGGGCTTGGCAATTTGGCATTAGGAGGCTGAGGTGGAGAAGGACACTTATTTCTTCTTTCTGACAAAAAGAGAGGAGAAAGACAGTTGATTTTGGCTGGGGTATTGGTACTGATAGCCAGAAGCCACTGTGATTAGGAGCTAGGCATGAACTATTGCCAGCAACCTACAAGGGCATTAAATATGGCCGCAGATCCTTGATAAGCTTCTGTAAGACACCTGGAGGGCTCAGTGAAGGTATAAGATCACTGCAAATTCTTCACCTCATTCATTACTATTATGATCAGCACATGTCATGCATGAAGCTCTGACAGAAACAGTGACTCACAAGGAGACCTTGCACTTGGCACCCAGTGCCCAAGAGTAGACCCCACAACCCAATGCAGGGACGACTGAGCCAGCTACTGCGTCTGGCCCTGAGCACCAGCCCGTTGAGCAAACACCTGGACCTTTATCAGAGACAGAGAGTCATGAGAAAGAGGGAATTGCAAGTTCTACTCAGAAAGAAGCAGAGCAAACTGTCTCCTCCCCGCCGACGCTGATCTCACTGAGCCAGAAACAGAAGACACAATAGGTGTCATAGATCTCTCAAAAGATGAGAACAGATGTCTTTTACGCAGATTTGAACAACTACAAAGTAGACAGCGTAAGAGGGAAGAAAGGCATGACTTGGGAGAATGATCCCACGTGGGCTCAGAAAGAGACGCCATTATAGGGCTGACATCTGCTTAGCAGGGACCGCTATTAGGGAACTTATCTATAGTATTGTAAATCTTGTAGACAATTAACATTAAATGACTTTAGTTTTATTGCTCTATGGAGAGTGGAATGTTTATATAACGGGTCCTCGACAGCACATAACATTTCTATACAGCCCATAGATGAAGCTCTTTGGGTGGTACACCACATTTAAATCACCCATCCCGATTTCGACCCAGCCCGACCATGCTTAGCTTCCAAGAGTGGGCAGGATCAGGCACTTCAGGCTTATATTTCAAGCTCATTCTTGAAATTAGGATGTTTACATGCCCTCTTGCTAATGTGAATTGGGACACTTCCAATTCACTCCCAATACTGACAGCCTCTGAAACAGAAGGAGAAAACTGTGTAAAATCCATGGCAAGGAGCATTGTTCTTTGGCTTTCTACTTGGAACCAGGAATCTGCAAAGTGTCTGAGCACCTAATGCCCCAGCAGCAATGTCTGCACTTCAGGAAGCCCTGCGACGAAAGCGATATCTGTAAGCATTTCTTTTGTTTCTTTGAGTATTCACATCCATATTCATCATTATGTGTATTCAGTAAGCTGTGCATCACTATCAGTAAACGTTGTCAAAGGTGCTTTCATTTCTTTTAAATTATCTTCAAATCAGAAGAAAGCTTCCTGGATTTTTTAAAAAAAGTTGGATTACACTCATCTTCAGAATAAATTCATTTAGAAAGGTCCACACAACAGTAAATCTGAGCTGTGGACAATGGCTCAGATCCAGAGATACAAGTGGAAAAGTACTTCTGCTTGCAGAAGCCATCCTTGACAAATTCCTCTGATTTTTCCCTTTGTCCTGTCCCATACTATTTCTGAAGGTTTTTCAGGCTCTTAGCAGATGATATTGTAAAAACAATCCTCATCCATAGAAAAAGGTATGTTTGTCATGGAAAAGCTCTCCTCATTCAGGGTAGAACAGTTTATTCATGATTACATTTCATAATAGCTGATTTAATTTGTGCTCATTCCTTTTGCCCTCAAAAAGTCAGACACAGACCTACCTTCCACCCTGTTCTCTGTTGGGGAACAAAATACCGCTCACATAATCCAACAAGCAGAATGTTTAAAACCACTAGCTTTCAGAAGGGAAAAAATAAGCTAAAGAAGAAACTGACATGCTCCCTACAAAAAGTAAGCATCTGATCTCTCTCCAGATGATGTTTTGTTGTCATGTATGCTTCCCATGTTGTTTTAAAACATACACAAAAAAAGGAGACAGCCTACTGCAGTTATGTGGGAACAGACAGCCAACAGAGGAGAGAAATTGATGGGATTTTTGTGGAATTGCTGGAGAGGACAGAGAAATCCCCTAGACCAAATTTCATAAAAACTGTAAAAGAATTACCTTCACATACTGGAGGTTTTGGGTACCAGCCAAAGTTGTAGCACTGAATTAGCTCTGGTCCTTCTAAGGAATAACCTTCCAAACAGAAAAACTGGACCACATCTCCTTCATCATAGCTCCCCTTGCTGGGATAGACTCCTCCATGTTCTATGGGACTGAGTAATGAACATTGCAGCTCTAAGAAGGAAGGCAGTACAAGGATAAAGACAAGCAACTGTCCTATTTTCCAGTTTTGAGAAATGTCAGTGCTATAATCAATGCAAAAGTTGGTCAAAGCAAGACAGAGCAGTTGAAAAGGAAGAGTCTATGACTCAACATACTAGTACACTTTGGAAAAAGGGACCAGCCTTGAGGATGGCATAACGCTTCCTCCATTGTGTTGCCTCCTGCTGTAAGATATCCATCATCACATTCATATTTGAGTTTTTCATTTAGGTTGAACACTCTTTGGACTGTGTGGTAGTGACCATGGGATAGGTCTGGTGCCGAACATGTGTCTTCAAGTGGTGTTCAGAAGAAGGGAGGAAGGGAAGAAAAAGAGCAACAATGGTGAATGCATTTAAAAAGTGATATTTTTGCTTCTTTCCCACCCCATGTCAGCACTCATTGGGCTCATGAATTATCTGGAGGCTAAGCAAAGCAAACCATAGGCCCCTGAGCATGAAGACAAACAAGAGCACCAATATTATGCATTGGATCCATTTGGATGCCACCCAAGCAAAAGCTGCTCTCAGACCAAACAGCCTGCCTTCATTCTGAGGCTTTATAAGGCCACATGAAGCCCTACTGGTTTCTTCTTGTTACCTCAGAGCTGCTGAACAAGAGCACCAGTCTAGAGTTGGCAGAATCCTCTGTCCTATATTCACACTTTCTCAAAGAATGATATGTTCCAGGGAGTGACTATCTCAAAGTTTCATGGGGTGGGGGGACTTATATAGCTGTGACTTAAATGTTGTCAACTGCCCAGAGAACTTGGGATATGGAAGGTATAGACGTTTAATGTCTGTGTGTTGGTGTTTCACCAAGTGGTGGCATAGAAGATTGGCACCTTCTTTGAAAATGAAGCCATGAAGGCCCCACAGAAATGGAAAGTGATGGGGGAGAATCTTATTTGTCAGCCTTTCTAATGGAGTGGACTGAACCCTGAACCCTTTCCTTCCATGAATTTTGCAATTCTACTCTCAGTTCAGAAACTGATTAAAAAACAAGTGCAAATGTGCATGCTTTTAAAAATGCAGGCTAATATAGAAACTGGGCAGAAGAAACTTGTGACTGAACATATGTGAAATACAACACAAACCAAACATAGAGTGATTTGTGCATCGGTGAGCTCAGGCTATGTGTCTGTTTAACATTCTTACCAATGACTTACTTAGGACCAAAGAAGATTGCCTTATGGGCCACTCTTATCTTAGACATACATTTCCTCATGAAAAATACAAGGGTTATGACTCTTCTTGGAAAATGCTGCTTTCAAGTCTTATTTCTAGAATGTCTCTCTCTACCCACCACATGCATGAGTCATAAAAATCATCCCGGTCAAATAATCACCAGATACATCCAAAGCACCCCAGCATAAGTGAGAACATTGCCTTGAACCATTTGAGTAACCTGTTGGGGACAGGTTTGCTCAAAGCCATACCAGATGTCTCCATGCACTGGGCCACAGAAGACCATCCATCTTGAAGACACTGTATTGTTTTGCCGCTGCTGCCCTCGGGTGTCCGATAGCCCGAATCACAACTGTACTGCAAGCTCTCCCATATTTTGAAGGACAGTTTTGTATCAGAGAAAACACCATGATGCAAGGGAGGTCTGGCACATTTTTCTAAACAATGTGGTGCGGGTTGAATAAAAAGATGGGGAAAACATCACATTATGCACATTATGCCTTTGTTAACACAACCACATGCTTACATGACAGTGAATCATATTGATAGAAAGCACACAGAAGAGATGCGGCCCAGGTCTGTGTCTGCACATTCTCATACATATAGCCAATGAACCTGCAGAATCTGGAACAATTTCATGCCACAAAGTTCGTGGATTTGCAAGAAGTACCATGTGGAACAGATGAAGGTAAGAGGCAGTTTAGTAGGATGGATGATTAAGTGTAATGAAACTGTATAGAACAAATACGATCCTTTTTTAATCTTTGCACATAGCTTTTCTTAGACTTCATATTTCACTATTTCTGATATGATTGTCTTATCTTAAAATTTCTGGGTGTCCTTTTTTGTAGTAATTTGTCCTACGATCAGCCTTTCTAATCAAGAGATCTTTTGCAGATGTGGGAGCTCCAGATTTGTCAGGAGTCTTCCCAGCAAAGGTTTCCCTGTTGATTTCGGTGGAAGGAAATCCACTTGTGCTGGAGCAACATCAAATCACAGGCAAAACTCTGCGTATGAGGTTGTGTATACTGGTTGCAGGTGCATGCGGATACAATATTCAGTTTGGAAGTTCACTGAGTTTTGTATTTGTGGCTGATCAATGTAACCTTTCCAGTAGACCATGAATCTGACTTAGGAAATAATAGCATATTTTTGTTTTATAGGTTGCTGGGAAGCTATTTAAAAAAATTGCCAGACCCACCCTGAAATTGACTGCTGATCTGACTAGATCAGTTCTTTCCCTCTTGTTTCAGCTGAAGGTGGCTTGTAAGATGCAAAAGAGTCCGGCTGCTCTTCCCTCTCCTCCATCCTGCTGGAATCACACCAACAGGGCTTTTGGATTTGTCAGAGGCTCTGACATCAGGGCTTTTTGCAAGCCATTAAATTGTTCCGCCCATGTACCCTTCCGGCACACCAAATGGAGAATCCATATGGACAGGTACCCTTTTGCACATCAAATGGAGAACCCATAGTGTTACTATCCGGATTGGCACCTTGAAATGTGCCAGTGGCGTTTACTTACTGTAACATCTGGGGGCTGGGGCCCAGCCTCTTGTTGTGCAGTTTATTCTCGCTCCTTGACTCCCACTTTCTGTTGTGTAACCAGCCAAACAGGAATATGAAAGCTTTGCATTTCTCTTCATTGGAAAATAATAATCTTGAAAACTATAGTAATATGGAGCAATCCTTCCATTTTCTATGTTGGGCAAGCTACAAGTCTTGTCTAGAAGAAATGGATTCATGTTCAGTGGGAAGCATTTATCCAGCATTCAGGCACACTTCAACTTACTCAATAAATTTTCTGCTATGACTTCTCCATAATTTAAGTCCTTGAATCCTTTCCCCTGAGCATTTAAGTAGAATTTTTCCTCATATTTCATCCAATTCCAGGGTGTTGCACTTAAAAGCAGGTGCTGAGATCTGTCTTGACTTTTCTATCAGCACACAAATCATTACATCTTTTAAATGCCAAAAATATCTCCATTTCCTTCAGTTGATCATATCTTAACTGTACATACCAGCACCACATGCAGAAAACATATGCTGCTTATGTGTGAAAAAATACATAGAAGTGTGCACACATGGACACAATTTGTACTTGTTTGATATATTTTAAATAATGAAATGCCACATACCACTACAGTATCTATTTTTAGCATGCACAGTAATTTACCTGCAATAGTATATTTCAGAAAATTTTGTTCAGAGGTAAGTAACCCAGTGCCTTCAAGGTGTTTTGGACTACAGTGTCCATAATCCCTGATCATTGGCCATAGTAGTTGAGGCTGACAGGTGTTGTACTTTAAAACTTCTGAAAGGCACAGTATTGCCCACCCTGTCTGAACACTGGCTTATTTAGTTTGCAGACTGGCTGTTCTTTATGTCTTGTAAATTTACCCTTCACCTACTTCCATGCATGATTTAAAAATAGATCCTCTTAATTTGGAGTTGCATGTGGATTTACAAAAGCTTAAAACCTTTCAAGCTTTCATAAATAAGCTTGCTTTAACAAATGTAGAAACACACATTTTGCTAACTCTTTTTAGTCCTAGAGAAATGTTTATAAAAGATCTCTCTCTCTCTCATCATTTTTCCAGATGTCACTGTCAGCATCTTCTACTAAAGAGATTAACGAGAATAAAAATTACTAATGCACATTTGCAATTTGCAGTCAATCAGTAAGTAGCCTGAACCTCACACCTCCACACACACACCCCCATTAGCAAATATGCCTGCCTGATTACCCAGAAGTGATTTTGTAGGAATTCTAAGTTATAGAATATTTACAAGTCTATATACAGCTCTGCAATGCATTGAACTATGAGACACAGTGAATTGTGCATTTATTAGATATGCTCAAGAAGAGAAAGGATCCAGGGTCTTCCATTTATAAAAGCTACAAATATTAACACCTTGAGGGTCCAGATTGCTTAAGAGTCTTCACAGTACGTGAGGGCACCGGTGTCGGTGCATTGTCTTGTGCATGCTAAGTAATATTAAGGACACGTTAATAATAACATTCATACTTTAGCCAACCTTCACTATATCTGAACTGAAAGCACATTTTATAGAATATACCATTTTTTAAAAGGTAAAAGAACAAAGACAGTTAAATACTTCTACCTTCTGCAAGAAGTTTTTGTGATGCAGCTAATAAAAATGAAAAAATCCATCTTTTATATCCCATCCTGAGTTCTCCCTGGTATATTTGTAGTTTCTCAGTTCTGCTGATTTACTGAAATTCTGAAGGAAATTGAGTTAATCATTTATCTGGCAAGCCCCATATTTGTTTCCACAGTGTTAAAGTTTATTCCTTAAATAGAACCGGGTGCAATTGCATATTTTATTGTAACTAATGAGATTTGAGAATAAGATTCCTGAATATTATTCCTAATTCCTCAAACACAATCAGAATAGTTTTTAACATCAGTCCTCTTTTAGAAATGCCCTAAATGCCTATATATATATATATATATATAAATAAAATCTATGTGAAACCCACCACTGAAGAGGTCAGCAAATCAGTTCAAGTGTATCAATAGAGACTCTGCAATGTTTGACTGATTCATTCATTACAAACGTTGATTTTAATAAGGAACCTTTTAGTATCCATTATCTTTAAGACCAGCGCAAAAATCACAGATGGCAGAAACTATTGCTCCTTAATAACTGCTTACTTTAGTGAACAACTGTCTGTGCAACATTTAATGCTATGCTTTTTGCTTCCTGTTATTTCTTTTGTGAGAGCATCTTTCTCATAAAGTGACAAATATCTTCTGAAGCTTCTCTATATGGAACCATGATAACTACATATGCTCAAGATGCATTTATCAGGCACACATCTGTACTTGAGTCCATACCTTGATGGTCCTTCTGTTACACCAGGGGTAGACAAGCTTTTTGTGCACATACATGCACACAGAACTGCCCCCTGCCTTATTCACAGACCCTCTCTCACTCGTTATGTGCTGTCAAGTTATGGAAAGCCTGTGAATGAAAGCACCTCCCACCACCGACAATGCGCCATCCTTGACTGCCCTACTCAACTCCTGTAAACTCAAGACTGAGGCTTTCTTTATCATGCATCTATCTCAAATTTGGTCTACCCTTTCATTTTCTGCCTTTGACTTTCCCTAGCATATCTTCTCCAAGACTTCTCCAAGTCTTGCCTTCTCTTGATGTGTCATCAGTACAACAGTTTTAGGTTCATCATTTTTGCTTCCAGAGCAAGTTTTGGCTTGATTTGATGTAGACTTTTGTTGGTCCAGAGTTGGTCTTCAGTTGATTATCTTTACTAGTTTTGTTATTGCTGCACTTCCAAGTCTCAGCATTCTCCTAATTTCTTGGCTGATGTCTTCTCTTGAATGGATGTATGCAAATACATATAAGCCAACCTTTGCAAAACCTTTCCTAATTTTGATTTCATCATTGTTGATATTTAAGTTGTATAATTCTTCTGTAGTCACGATTTTTGTTTTCTTAACGTTCAGCCGAAGTCCTGATTTAGACTCCTCCTTTCTCTTATCCAAATCCAGTTTTCCATTCTGTCCTCTCTCACTTCCACCCCAGGATCAGAAGATACCAAAGCATACTGCTATTAAGGTTTTCCGTAAGGAAGGGGAGGGAAATCTTCACATGAATTTTATATGCTGTCTTTTCTAAGACAAGGAATACTTTTATTTCCCTGATCACAGAAGGAACTGATTTAGTTCATCTTACACTATGGTTTCTCTTTCAAGAACAAGATCCTTGAGACATAAGCTCCAGAGCAAACAGCTAGAGCATCTTTCGCTACTTTAAGATAATATGTACATTCATGCTTCATTGTAACATCTTACTCTTGACAATGAAACAGTGGATAATGGAGGGCTAGGTTCACAAAAGATACAGAATCCAGAAAAATGGGACTTTAAAGAGACTGGAAGGCAGAGCTTTTCCTCCTAATGGACACTACTTTTGTTACGTTTATATTCCATCTCTTTTCCTGCAAGAAACCAAGGCACCTTTTATAATCTTCCTCTTCATCTTATCCTCACAACAGCTCTGAGTGGACTGGAACCTCCAAGTCTCAGTCTAACACTAACCATTACAACACACGTCTTGTGATTCTGCAGCAAAAGAATTTCTGGTAGGCTGCCACTAGTCAGGATGCATCTTCTGTTGCAGGATGCTTGGAGACTTTCCAGAATCCTATTGCCAAGGACCTTTGGCTCATTCTCAAGGAGGGGAAAAAGATATTTTGTACATTCCTTCCTAAAGCCCAGAAACACTTAAAAAAGCAGTAGTTTTGTAACTATGCTGTCTTCCATGTGGAAGAGTTCAGTGAAAAACCCCTTTTGAAAACAACAGTCTAATGTCCAAATATAGAAAGGCATTTATTTAACAAAAAGCAAAAAGAAAAGAAACAAGGGCAGACACAAAACCAATCAAGAAATGAGACAATTATACACATACACACAATTCAAAAGGTCAGTGTAACTTATCTAGTGCATTGCCTAGTTGAATACAGTCTTGGGTCCTGGAGAGTATGTCAAGTTCGTTGTAGATAGGATGGTCTGATAGACAAACACATCTGGCTTCCAGTTAGGGTATATACGCAGCTCTAGAATGCAAGTGATCTTTTTAATGGGGAGCTCTGCTCAGTAAAAGCTGCCTCCCCATAGCAAAGGCTGATAGTTGGCCTGTCAAGTAACACAATAGCCTCCATTTCTGATGTCAGTGGTCTAAGCAGCAAGGCAAGAAAATCACTCAGTGTCCAAACCTGCCTTCTTAATGACTATAGCTTGCAATTCAAAAGCCCAAAGTGGCTGAAACCTACTCAAGAATGGGAATTAAGGTTATAGTTGCGTGTTGGAAAGAAAAGAGACAAGGCTAGATAAAACTATTTAAGTTTCCCAGTAGGTTGCCAAGTTTCCAAATGCTCTAAGGCATACTATGAATCTATATCAGAAGTAGAGATTTGTTACAGGGCCAGAAGTGGCTAGGGTACTGCTGGATCTCAGGGATTCCCCCAAAGGCTGTAAGGCAGCTCACAGGTAGTCAAAAACCATAAAGGCCACATAGAAGATAGGGAAGAATTAGTTTGGTGATGGTAGTTCTCTGTATTCCCAGGCTACTCATCTGTCTAGCTTTTTTTTTTTTAGTACAGCTGGCTCAGGAAATAGTACCTTAGCCAATTTAACAGAAGCTCCAAGGTGTAGGGTGGGGGAGAGAAAAAAGTGAAGACTAAGCAGGGCTTAAGCCCAGAAAGGGATTAGTAGAGCAAATGTGTTTATACTTTGTCAAACAAGAACGTGAAGGTTATTCCAAAGAGAGAGGGTTGCAATCTGAAAATACAAGAAAAAGAGCAAAAGAAAGTGGATTTATTACTGAGACACTGAATAAGGGCAAATTCTTGGCAGGATATTACACCTAGGGAGACCCTATGTTCCTATGCTGCAATAAGGCATCCACAGAACAAAAATATAGGGAAAAGGCAGAAAAGCAAATTAACTGGAATTTCAGGAGGGTTAGGCAAAGTCTGCTAATAAGAATGCACCAAAAAGGATATATATTTTAAGAAACAAAAACCAGGCATTTTTCAAGAACCATACCTCAGCACTTTTGTCTAGAACTGATCAAAAGAAATATCTGAACTTGCATGTATACAACAGAAGCTCAAGCAGAATTGTTCAGAAATAGCCTGTGATCTATATACTTGTTATCAATTTAAAGCCATTTGACACAATTCATGAACAGGGGGTCACTTAATAAGGAAAAAATTATGAACCACCTTCGAAAAAGATAATTTAAGATGTAGCGAGACTAACCTCATTTGTAGCTTAAGAGAGCTAAGAAGTTGCAAATCCACATGCTCTAATAGTTCAACTAGTATGCAGCATGTACGGTTTAGGAGTTCAGAGTTCAGAGTCCTGAGCAGCAAGAGGGATTAGGAGAGTCCTGCCTGCTACTGATCTCTGTGCGCTTTGAGTCTACAGAATTTGGATTTTACATATAGGATATTTTTCCACCCCCATTCTTCACACTTGTGTGGCTGCCAAGAGAATGATTGTGTTTTGGATTATCTGGCTACATGGATAAGCTCTGCAGTCAACACAGCTCTGAAGAACAATGAAAAAGACTTTCAGAGATGCAAAAACTTGAGGGGTGGAGCAAAGGTCAGTACTGAGCAATCTCTTCTGAGACTTTTTGCCATAAAACTGCTTCAGTTGAATTTGAATAAGTTGCTTAAGAACAAAGTTGTCCTTTCAATGCGTATGCGAGTTAAAATTACCCGGGGTCCCTTCACCAAAAGAGAGAAGGATGCTGAAGTAGAATAACCAGGATAGGGACTTAGGATGCTATAATAAATCATGGAAACCAACTTCAAAATATAGTTTCAGATTATGCTCTGTTGGCTGAGAACTAAGGTACACCATGATAAAAATGTGGAATAATTTATGGATTATGGAAATCTATAACCAGATAATGAAGGTGCCAGAGTTCTTATCTTCTTATGTTGTTGTTGAACTTTCCTAAGTGCAAACTGAGTAGCTGAAAATACTCCAAGATTTTGGGGGGGAAATCTAAGTGATAAAAAAACAGCAACTTACTTTTCTGTATTACTGCTCATTATTCATAATTTGAAAGGTGGCATGTGTGTCTACACTTGTTAAATGTAACAGCTATTCTAAATTCCCAAATAAACCAAAACAGAATATATAAGACACAATAGCCAACTATTAATTAAGCCTTATTTTTCTGCTTTGTTGTATAAAATGGCAGTCTTACAAAAAACAAAGCTTCTGTACACAATATAGAGCTTGCTAGTTACAAATCACATCCAAGTAATACTGGAGTCTTTATTAATACAAAATATAAACATATTCATCAGCTGAGATTAAAAATTACAATATAGCCTAAATATCACAGCTCAAAGATACTGATAAAATGTTAATAAAGTCAGTCTACATAATGGCCCAGTTTGTATGTCCCAACAACTTTTTTTATCATACATTATTGTTACTGAGCAAGAACGCTGAAAGCAGGAGTGACTAAATATAGGGATATTCCTTCCCTGGATTGTTTGTCATGATATGAAACCAGGAATTATGCCTTGCTTCTGTCCTGACAAGCCAAAGAAATAACCAAGTGATAAAGTAGTATGCACCACTGTTCACACTTTTTGTGATGGGCAAACTGGGCCCAGTATGGAAATTAACATGGAAGTTGCCGTCCCTTTTTTTAAATGGCGTAATTGCAGATAATTTCAGGAATGCTGTTATTCTTCAGTTGCATGAAATTCCAAGTGTATCCAGTACCATTTGAATGGCCTGCAGTGGATCAACGATCTCCTGCATATTATCTTTCCTTAAAACCCATTCTGGTCTTTGCCTGTGGGATGAAAAAAAACCTTTAAAAAGAGAAAGCATGATTTGTGAACATTTTAAAGCCAGAAGTTAACAATTTAGGATTTCTTACGTTGAAACTAGTCTTGTTCTTCGAGGAGTCGAGACACAACTATGCCCATTTTTGTATGCGCCAGACTTTTGTTTTGCAATCATTCTTTGGGCATCCATTTGGTGTTTACGAGCTGTGAGTTTAAACAGGCTTTGAAGACGAGTGACCACTCGAGGATCGCTTCGGATCTCCTAAAATGGGAATCACCATTTCAGTGTTAAAGGTAGCCTAATACTTTGTTGAATGATGCCTGAAAGCATTTCAGTTTTAGAAAATTCGTTGGACTTATTCTTGCTGGACTATATTTATTCACACATTGCTAACAGACCTGGTCTCTACCCATCACAGCACTTCTGTAACCTGTGAATTCTTATTATGAGAAAAGACACACTGAAGATTAAGCTCAAAGGGGTGATGGACATATCCCTCACACACACTCAGCATTTACCCAAGGATCAAACCTAGCTTTTAATTTTAACAAAGACCACTTGTTTTATTGCATCTTTGTTATAAAGAGATAGTACACATGGTTAATACTCCTCACTATCCAATCCATGAAGTGGGGCCATTGCAAAGTATCAGTGATGCCTCCTAGTGACAGCTTCCAGGCCAGCACCCCACCACAATCCCAAACTCCATACCAGCAACATCCACGTCTACTTGGAAGCACAGCATTCTTTTCCACTGGCACCTTTGTTTCCAGAAGCATACAGAACCAGCTAAATCAACACTCAAGTAGTGTCCTTCACAAGGTAAGGCATGATCAATAAGATTCAAGTTTGAAGATCTTTGCGTTACTGATACATTTATTTTGTAGAAAAGTAGGCTGAAAGATCTTTTGCAGCATAATAAACTACCACTATATTGTTTTTTTAATGCACAAAATAGCATCTTTGACAAAGAGATGGTTCACATATAATAACGAACCTTAACTATGACCTGGTCTGGACACACAAGAGTTGGAGGCAGATGGAGATTTGCTGCAGTCAACGCATTGTTGCCCGGCTAACCACTGGGTTACTTTGTCATTAAACAGCTCAGCAGTCCAGGTTCAGACAAGCCATAACCTACAAAACAGTCCTCTGCTGTTCATGCACAAACACCCATTGGTTTAAAAACGAGTGGGCACATAGAACCTATGGGCTGCTGAATCATAGGTCACCATTACAAGTGAATCCAAAACTATGGGGCAACTATGGACTGTTAAACACGAAGAATCCACAAAAAGACTCTGATTTGTTGTTCTGTTCTGAATCCGGAGTTGTTTAAAACATGGGATGTTGTTACATGTTAATTTGTGAGATGTTTATTGGTTTATTTCACCAGACTACAAAGGCAGCAGGCAAGAACAGAGTAACAACAACAAAAACACAAGCGCTCTGTAAGCCATGACTAAAATGCTGCAAAGGATTTGGAGGAAGCAGGCAAACAGGGCGAGAGGCAATCTCAGGAACTGAGCAACAAACAGCAGTTTTGCTTGATCTTGCTTTTCTAGCCAAATCATGAATTAACTCTGGGTAAGGCAATGACCCTGAGGTTAATTAAACTACAGCTGTCATTATAAGTGAACCAGCCCACACTGTCAGCCAGGTTTATATACTAGCAGTTTCTTTTTTAAATCTCTCCTGTTGTTCCTCACAACACTGATAACCTGAAACAGAAAGATGTAGGTCTGGGGAATGCGGGGAGAGAGGATTAAAGCTTACATAAGCTCTGTTTAAATCCTGCGCAAGAAGAGCAAACAGGCAGCATGTCTTGGTAAAAATGCTTCCGCCTTTCTCTGAAGTTTTGTCACCAGCTCTCTCTCTGTACATTTGAAGTAGATCCAATAAAGTTTCTATGGAATTTCCCACTTCATAAACAGCTTGAGTAGTCCTGTCATACTTGAAGAAAACACAATAGTTCATATTAAGCACACCCCAAAGAATCACGTATTTGAGTAAGCCTGTTCCACCGCACTTCAAATAGTTAGAGTGGGCAGATAGACTTGGTTCAGACAAAGGCCTGTCATGAGCACACATGACCTGCTGACCCGTTTTCACTAGACCCAACATTTCAATATATGTCATTTAGCTGAAAGACAAAAATGATGACCTCTTCAGAGAAGCAGAGACATTATCATTAAAATGCAAACCTATAAATGTAGGTTGCTTACAGCAAAACTTAAAAGTAAATACCTTTGACAAATTTAGTAGGACTTGGACTGAATATCTGATAACATCCATGCAAGGGACACTACGGTTGCAACTCCGTATCAAGGTAAAAATAGTGAATACTGCTTCACTCTGGGCCATATTTTCACAACAAACAGGTGATAGTCTAGTTACAACCTCTGGTGGAAAGAAAGAGAAAGAGCGAGACTGAGAATCATACTTCAGAATTGCAATAGCTGGCACAAGTAGACTATGGGAAGGAAAAATAGTTTTAGTAACCAGTTGTACAATCCCTATTCACTTGATTTATTCCAGGATTTCTCAATTTTAGACCATATAGTAATGTGGAGCCACAGTTCTAAATCAGGCCAGGAGGCTCTCTGCTACAGAGCTGCAGTCCCAGTGCATGTAGAGGATTGGGGTCACTGTGAAGTGGGCAAGATCAGTCAGTGCTTCTCCCACTTACCTGATTTTACTCAAATGACCAATAAACTAAGTGAACTAGCCTATGAATGGGGATAAAAAAGTCCACCAAGATATCTGGCTTTGTGTTCCTCGGTCCTTGAACTAAAATGGGATGAGATAGGATGCCATCCTACCTCCTTTGAAATAAATGAAGCAGAATCCAGCCAATCCATCCCGCCCATTTTTCCTCATTTTGAACACTACTGCTCCTAAGATGAAATTAAAACCCTTCACTCATGGCCCTTTTATTTTGACACCTTTGTACATGTAACAAAGTAGTCATTTGTATATTGCTGTATCAAGAAATATTTTATACAAGTAATTACTAACCCAGGTCTTTTAAAGCTGCCAAAATGTAAGAATAGTGTTTATATTTGAGAAGATGATCAATGGCAAGTGAAGTTCTGTTACATAGCTTCTTCTCTTCTTTGCTTTCTTTAGTGGCGATCAACAAGCTATCTCGGAGAGCTTTCGTTTTTGCAGTATCTGTCTTCTTCCTCCATGAATATCCTCGCCACAGTGCCTTATGAGAGAATGAGGGGAGACAAAAGATTTCATATACTGAAGAGCAAAAGCGGAGAAAGAATCTTACCAGAATGCAGGGAAGTACATAACTTTGAACCTCTAGTTTTGCAACTAATTCCAATCTAATTCCTCTAGTTTTGCAACTAATTCCAATCTAATTATCACCAGCACTACCTGGAGATGCTGGGGACTGAACCGATATAGATCCCTTACATTTAAATCGTTACTACTACTGTGCTACAACCGTCATGCACCATGCTCCATTAACATAAGCAGGAAACAAACACAAAACATTATCATTTACAACTCAAAAGAACAGAATGCGTCCATATATGCCCTCCCGCCCCTTGACATCAGCAACAGATGCCCTTCTCCGGAAACCCTCTGTGAATGATATTAGGAGACAGAGTACCCGGAGGAGGGCCTTCTCTGCGGTGGTGCCCCACCTGTGGAATGCGCTCCCCAGAGAGGTCCACCTGGCACCATCGTTATTTGTTTTTCGGCGCCAGGGTAAGACCTTTTTATTTAAAACTTATTTTAAGTGTTAATTTATTATGTAGGATTTAAAAAATTTTTAAGCTGAGATGCACTGGGTTTTAATATTTTTAGTGTATAATTTTTGTATAATTTTGTATGTTTTTGTTGTGAGCCGCCCTGAGGCTTTGTTGCGATGGGGGTGGCATAGAAATGTTTTAAATAAATAAACAAAGGATGTTTCTTTACCTGAAATTTAATTATTCCATTGCTTGGGGTCTTTTGTCCCTGGTGTTCCTGAATGACAGCTGCACTTCTGCAATGCATCCACCTCCTCACCAGTCTTTGCAATTTAATAATTTTTTCACGATACAGCAGGTAATGCCTCCTCTGCAGTTTTGCTCGATACCACCGCTATTTAAACAGATGGGGCAGGGGAGAAAGTCTTTCATTTTGATAAAGACACCTCAAATCTTTTCTAAAGAATTGAACTTATGGTCTAGATCAGGGTACACAGACTGTAGCCATCCTGGAAATTCTATGTTTTTTATTAGAAGCCTGAAATCCACCAAGTGGGGTCTAAAATATACTGTATCTACCTATCTATCTATCTATCTATCTATCATTCTCACACACACACACACACACACACACACACTTAAAATTCAGTAATTATGCAGCCAGGGATTTGTGCTGAGTTCCAGAACTGGATGGGACTCATAACCCTTTCCATTCAAAATTCATCCATGGTTACATTAAGTTTCTTTATTTCAGCAGAACAGTGTGGGGCATGGGGAGGGGGCCACAGGGCCTTAGAAACATTTTAAGCCTATCTACAACAAATAGCCCATAGATCTACCAGTGTATTCACATCTACACATATGCCCGCCCGCCCCTTGAGATCAGCAGAAGAGGGCCTTCTCCGGGAACCCTCCGTGAAGGATATTAGGAGGGTAAGTACTCGGACAAGGGCTTTCTCTGCGGTGGCGCCCAATCTATGGAATGCGCTCCCCAGAGAGGTCCACCTGGCGCCGTCATTATTTGTTTCTCGGCGCCAGGCGAAGACCTTTTTATTTAAGCGTTATTTTAATTGTTAATATTATTTATTTTATTCTTTGGTCAGGTCGACTCAAATTATATTGTTTTTATATTGTGATTACTTATTTATTGTTGTGAGCCGCCCTGAGGCTTCGGCGAATGGGGCGGCATAGAAGCTTCCTAAATATATAAATAAATCTACTTTCTGCCCACCCTGGTCTAGATAAATGTTCTGAACTTCAAGGCTAACTTAAGGAACAAGAACTACCACAAAGACTCAATACTTTTATGAACAAGACTGAAGACACTGAGTACAATGAGACTGAAGACAAGGAACACATAAAATTTGCATCTTTGATCAAAAAATCTAACCTGAATGTATAGAACTGAAGCCAGTTGCAAATCTGCACGTTTCAAGTGAAGATGACTTCTGTAAGCCCTCTGAATTTTAGTAGCGGCAATATGATGATATACAGCAGCTGCTAAAGAAAGCAGACGAGTCTGCTGCCTCTCTTCCAAAACCTAAAGAAAGTGAAAATTAACTGAATTAGTAGTCAAAGCAGAAAGCAGCCAACTTTGGGGTGTCCATTGTTCTGATTCTAATGTACAAAAATCAGCAAGATGTTGATGTACACTGATTTATCTGTTTGCTTTTCTATCAGAAATACCTTCCCGATCTCTACCTTTCAGCTTCACTTAAAGTGCTTGCTATCCGTCTACTCAGAATGATGGAGAGCACCCTGAGCTTTGTGCAAGCTCTTTGCACCAAGGGTACAGAATATGGATGGTGAATGTGTGTGCCTCCAGATGTTGTTGGATTACATCTCTCATCTTTCCACAGTCGTTGGCTACATGCAGTAAGACTGGTGGAAGTCCATGCAATATCTAGAGGACCACGTGTTTCCCACCAATGGTATAGACCATGAACTCTCATTCCATAGAAGCAGAGTCTGAGGAAGGAGGTGTGAAATGAAGCTTAACTGGTTCAGAATTCAACCAGTTAACTCCTAGGATTCTTACTAGTTTACCTGGATGGAGCTATGCTACGCCAATTCTAAAGTTACTTTTATGTCCCAAATTTTTACAATTGTATTCGCTTGGTTTTGCAGCTTTATGTACATTGCCGTAAGATTCTATTTAGCAAGGAGTGGTATTTAATTAAGCCAATACAAATAAAATATCAGAATCTAATCTACAGATCATTATTAAATAAAAAATGGTAACAGTCCACACTTAGTAGGCTACCTGGTGTCACAATTTCCATGTTTTATCCTTCCCAGGGGAATAACAAACATTCCAGTCCTATAAACTACCCTGAAAAGAGCTATACTGAAAGCTGACACATGTATTTAGAAAAAAAGACTAATGTACATCTCAAGTCACATATCTGCTTAGCTGAATTTACGTGTTTGATACCCTTAAATTTTCCCAATAAAAGTCAGTTTTATCACTAGTTACCTTTTTAAACTGTTTTCTAGCACTGTGTCTTCTATATGCAGATTGAATTACTACTACAGCTGCTCTGGTCACCAGGAAATTCTGCAAAGCTATTTTTGCTGCCACTGTTGCTCTCCATTTCCTCTGAATTAGAATTGTAGAAGCTTTCATCTTCAAAAACCTATAGTAAAAACACATTTAAAGATTTAATTCCTACAATCTAAGTTTTTTTATTTATATAATTCCAAAATGTAATGAGAATGATTAGCATTTAAAATTGTTCATGCAGCATATTTTATTACCATATCCTCTGTTTCTTAGCTCTTTGGTAGCTCTGAATTACGCGTGTAGCTTTCTCAATGGCTCTGTATTCTTTCATTGTTCTGCATCTGATGAACCACGCTTCTGGAAACATACTTGGATTCTGTGCTGCTAATTGCCTTACTTTATAGCCCCTAAAAAAAGCCTAATGGAGACATGTATGCATAACATTACTATTGCTTTAAAATTGTACTTACATCTATGCTCTGTTCAACACAAAGAACTCCAGTTATTACAAGGTATCAATAGAGACTCACTTCATAATAAGGGAAGCAAACTGAGGATCGATTTATCCAGAATTTGTGCATCAGGCACTTTCTACAGACTTTTGATTATTCAGCCTTAATCAAGCATTACTACATGACATTCAAATGCTGACACTACAGGTTAATTTGTGGGTTAATCAAGCCACAGATAACATAGGTTATCTGGCTGTTTAACTCACAACTAACCTATAGCTAGAACATCAAGTAGCAACTCGCAACCACAGGCTAAATATATTAAAAGATAAAGAATGAATCTGTTATGCATTGTGGAAATGACATGCCATCATTACTCATGAACAACATTAGTCATAAAAGAAAGGAATCAGTCTTCTCTGTTAGAATGAAATACCCCAACATACACAAACTCTGAAATAAGTCCAGTAGCATGACTGACTGTATATACATCAAGAATGAATGTAGATATCTACCATCAACTCATATAGTTTTAAACCCTAATGCCAACTGTTGTAACATTTAATAAATGATAATTCAAGGTCATGTGATCTGCAATCCTCTGAATCAAAGCTCCTTGAAATTATACTGCAGAAAACAGTAAATCCATACAGAGAGGAAAAGTCAGCACTAGTCTCCTTGTATGCACTTCCCTGAAGTACTGGTCTGTTCAAAATATGTTGTTAATGGCACCATGGCAAAGACTGCTAATCGTAATACATAAGGACAAGTTTTTATTTTTTATTCCATTCACCATATGCCAGTGTAGAGTTTTTCTAGTGCAAACAAAACCAGCCAAACAAACTTGAAAGCCAACATAAAGGGGAAGAAAAATCAGGTTCTACTTAGCCAAAATTCAATAGTTTTGCACCGTTCATCCCATTTTTCAAACAAAGAGCTCTGAGCTCTCATCCAATTGAGCAAGTTGGTGGAAAGATCAATTTAGAAGAAATATGACAAAATAGGAAAGATCAATGAAAGGACTGCTACTTATATTTAATTGTGGAACAGTGATCTAAAGAAAGCACCATAGCACTCCCAACCACTGCTGAAGAACAAATAAAATCACATGATCCTTCCTATATCACCACTGCACCTGATTGTAGGAGTCTTGCTGGGAATCATATTTAGGAATACTGTTTCTTCCTCCAACAGGCCCAGCTTTTGTTGATATATAGAGATGGAACTATGTTTTGTGGCTCAGCGAAAAGGACCTAGATACCAGTAATGGACAGACATCTCACACAATAAGGAATATGATGCATAAAACCCTGATTCATACTTGCCCCACTAAAAGGCTAAAAATGCTGTTTATTTCACCATGACCTTTGGCATTCACTTCCACTTATGAATCAGTAAAAAATGTGCACAAGATCCAGTCAAACCTATTTTTTAAAAAAATGTAATGGATCTTAATGGGAAAGATGTATGTCCTTTGTTTTAGAATACAAAATAGCTTAACCAATCTATCCTTTGTTTCCAATATAGTAAAGAAAACTAGTAATAACCAATATGGCAGCCCACAAAACACTTCCGAAAGGTAGAATTTAAGAGGGAACCATCGCCTAGGCATTCCTCAGTTGGGTGCTCTCCAGATGTGTTGGACTTCGTCTCACACCGGCCCCATTCAACATGGCCAAGGGACTCAGTGGGAGTTATAGTCCAATATAGCTGGCGGTCACCAGGCTGAGAAAGAATGCATTCACATCTTAATTATAGTAGGTGTCTAGTATCATACCCCCAATCACACTTTTAACTCAAGGGTTGTTCTTGGAGATAAATATTTAACAGTAACCTTTAACAATTAATTCTAGGAAAAGTATTTCTAATACCTGAATTTTGATTGCACTTCTTTTCATTTTGCATAGCCTTCGACGTACCATGAAACCTCTCACTAAAGCCTGTATGATGATGATACTCTTTAGAATTTGTAAATAAGCCAGGCTCTGAAGTTTTACAGTCAAATGAGATGGATAACACTTTTGTATTAAAAGTGCAGTTTCCCAGCACTTCCGGGACTGTTCTCTAGTTTCACTTCCATATTGACTCTGTAACACAAGAGTTTCAGTTCTGAGTGGACTAAACATCCTATGATCTGCAGCCACACAAAAAGAGGATTGAATTTTTCTTGCTGCACGTGCTTCCTTCCCTTTTCTGTGTGCTACTGCTCTACGATAGGCAGACTGAATGATCAGCACAGAACAGTGCAACAACTTGTAATGTTTGCGCTGCACATGCATCCGATAAAGAGACTGGATGGCAGTTGCTGAGGCATGCATGGAATTCAGTTCTTGCCTTGTTCTCATGCCCCTGTAAGTTGCCTGAATCAATATAGCAGATCTCCGAAGAGTTAGATAGGCAGTTCGCTGCTGTTTCGCTTTCAGGTAAGATCGGTAGCAATTCTGAATGGTGAGAGCAGCATATCTCAGCCTCTGGTAAGAAAGCCTAGCCCTGTGCATTCTAAATAATGCTTGAATTGCCCTTGCTGCTAAATGCATGCACTCGACTTCCTTCCTTATTTTGAAACCTCTGTAAAAAGACTGGACACTAACAATGGCTGCACGAACCAAAATGTATTCCTGACGCAGCCTTCTTGCCAGAATCAATGCTCTGTACCGTCTCTGAAGGACTACAGCAGCCGCTTTCAAAGCGAGGTAACTTCTGCGTTGTTTCTTCATTTTAAAATTTCGCTGGAGCACAACAGCAGCTTGGTGCCTTTTTAGACAGCGTCTTGCCTTCATCCTGCGAAAAGCCTTCTGAATGCAAACTGCAGCTGTCTTAACAGACGAATACTGCTGGACTGCAATTCTACTTAGCTTATTGGCTCTGACTCTTATCTGGATAACTTGGGCTGCCCACCGCGTCTTTCTGTAGTGACACTGCTGCCTGTGTTTTCGATAGTGGCTTTGTATGATCGTTGCAGCATCGTGGTGCTTCTTCAAAGTATGCCGCGTTTTCATTCCTCTGTAGGCAGCCTGAAGAACCAAAGCAGCACGGTGGTGTTTTAAGTACAGCTCTCGCACACGTTTTGCCTCCCTGTATGCTCTGTAACGCTGCTGGATTGCAACACAAGCAAACTTCATCGCTCGGAACTGAGTGTAAGCGATATGCATTCTGAAGGAGGATTGGATAACTGTACTAGCCCTGTGCATTTGTTTCAGAGATTTTCTGACTCGCTGACCTCTGAAGGTGGACTGCAGCACGACAGCAGCTTTATGGAGGCAGAGATACATTCCCCGCTGCTGTTTCGCAAGCACTGTAGCTCGGTACTTCTGTTGAATTGTCACAGCAGCAGCTCTGAGAGTAAGGAAATGTCGCCTCTGAAGAAAAGTTTTAAAGCTCCTTTGAATGATGGTGGCCGCTGCATGCATCTTTCTCAAATGAAGCCTCGCCCTCATGCCTCGGAATGCAGACTGGATTCGGAGGGCGGAACTCTTCATCTGCCTGTATTTATGCAGCTGAATATTTCTATTTTTGCAACCACAATACCACTGCTGGATCAGTTTTGCTGCTCCAACTAACTTTAAGAAAGATTTGCGTCGCCTGTACATTCGATAAAATGACTGAATAGTAGTTGCAGACTGGCGCAAAGTCTTGAGCTCCTGTCTAACTCTCATGCCTCTGTAAGCAGCCTGAAGGATGAGAGAAGAATTCCTTAGCTCCAGATAATGTTTCCGTTCATTTCTTCCTCTGCAGAGAGCTCGGTATCTTCTCTGAATTAAAATAGCTGCCAATTTCATTGTCTGATATCTAGCGTGCTGCTGTTTTGAGAGTATGGCAGCTCTGTACTTCCACTGGACAGTCACAGCAGCAGCTCTGAGAGTAAGGAAATGTCGCCTCTGAAGAAAAGTTTTAAAGCTCCTTTGAATGATGGTGGCCGCTGCATGCATCTTTCTCAAATGAAGCCTTGCCCTCATGCCTCGGAACGCAGACTGGATTCGGAGGGCGGAACTCTTCATCTGCCTGTATTTATGCAGCTGAATATTTCTATTTTTGCAACCACGATACCACTGCTGGATCAGTTTTGCTGCTCCAACTAATTTTAGGAAAGATTTGCGTTGCCTGTACATTCGATAAAATGATTGAATAGTAGTCGCAGACTGGCGCAAAGTCTTGAGCTCCTGTCTAACTCTCATGCCTCTGTAAGCAGCCTGAAGGATGAGAGAAGAATTCTTCATCTCCAAATAAGATTTCCGTTCCTTTCTTCCTCTGCAAAGAGCTCGGTATCTTCTCTGAATTACACCAGCTGACAGTTTGATCACTGTAAATCTAACTTTATCCTGATGCATCCTAAACATAGCTTGGATACGAATAGCTGCCCAGTGCATATGTTCAAGTTTTTGCCGTGTTTTCACACCTCTGTATATTGCCTGTATTCTAACAGCTGCTTGCTTCAAAGCGAGGTATTCCTGCCTTTTGCTGCTGGCTAGAATAGCAGCACGATACCATCGTTGAATTGTGATAGCAGCTTGCCTGAAACATTTAAGTTCTGCTTGATTGACATGCATCCTGTAATAGGACTGTATGACCACAGCAGCTCTGTGCTGTCTTTGGATTTGCCTCCTTACAACATTCCCTCTCCAAGCTGCTTGGAGTTTTACGATTTGTTTGTAAAGCACAACATACTCCTGCCGTTGTTTTGCACCTGAAACTTTGGCTCTATAATGCTGCTGAAGTGTTAGAGCAGCATTTCTCACCATCCTAAATCTTTGCAGAGCTTTGTACTTCCTAAAGGCAGACTGTATAGTAATTGCAGCAGCATGCTGTTCCTGAGTCCATTTCCGGACTTGCCAGCCACGCCAAGCTGCCTGCAACAAAATCACGGCTGCTTTTGTCTTCAAAAAACTTGCTCTAATTTTGGAACTGGCTTTGGAAGCCCTGTACCATTTCTGAATCACACGAGAAGCTTGAATCAATGCTTGGTATCTCACTCGAACAGTATAAGCCCTAAATACCGCCTGGATCTTAACAGCAGCCATATTTTGACGCTTCAGTGTTTTACGGAGTTTATAGCCCCTGAAGGTGGCTTGTAAACACACAGCTGCCTTTTTTGTTTGCAAGAACTTCTGCCTCTGAGAGGTCTGCTCTCTGTATGCACGATAGAGTATCTGAATAGTAGTAGCAGCTCCACGCATCATTAGAAAATGCCGCCTCTCTCTCTTCATCCTGTACCATGCCTGGAATACAACTGCAGCCTCTTGCCATTTCTAAAATACAAGAAAAAACATGGTTGTCACAGTTATTTCACTTGATGTTTATGTTTCTACAAAGCAATCATTATGTGCCATGTAAATTTATATACGCACAGGCACTCACACTTAAACTTTATAAAAACAGATTCTTTTTTACAGAAGTGTGTGCTAAAAGGCATCCTAACAGTAACATTTATGTTACTTATCCTGAAATATTACAGTGCTGGTCACACCACCTAGCAATTTCAGCTGGCTGGATTTGATGGAGATTTCATATGAAAAATCCATCATACCTGGTTGACTAAGGAAGACATTCTATCTTCCTCATCCTTTGCCCTTTTTAATTTCTTAAGTTCCATCTGAGCCAAATATCTTCTCCAATACTTTTGTATTACAACTGTTGCATTCAATTCTTGCTTTTTAGTCTGATAAAAGAAAAAAAATAAAACAGCAGACTATGTGAATATTAAAAAATGTGTCGTATTTCTGTAAAGTCAATTCTGCTGACAATTTAGAGCAAAATGAAAAGCAATGGGGAAAATACCTGAGCAAGTTTTACTTTAAATCTGTAATTCCTCCAAGTAGATTGAATCAGCCGAGCTGCTCGAATTTCTTTAGAAAGATCAAGAAGTCGTGAACACAGAAATGATACATAAGTGATAACTACCTAAAAAAATAGAACAGAGAACACTGAGCAGCTTAATAAATTCTGATTGGACAAGGCAACTGTGAATCTTAAGGTCATGATTACCTTCTCATCAGGTATCGTATTAGACATGTCTGAATGGTGAATCATAGCTGGAACACCACCAAGATCAGAAACTGCAGCATTAATCAGCTGGAAATTTTTCTTTTCATTGTCAAGGAGCTCTTTATAAAGCACTGAAGTAGTTATAGCTTTAAATAAAGAAGACAAAAAGTGATTGAATTCATTAAATCATATACAATGATAGAAGGCACCTTCCACCTGCCTTCAAGCACCACTTAATGAACTCACTTTGGTCGAAACTTCCATTGAGAATATTTAGAGAAGAATCAGACTCCGAAGATGAATTTAGGGCAATGGAACCACTTTTGGTGCATTCGACTGTTTGAGTAGTGCGTTGGCATACAGCTTCCAAAGGAATATAACAAGGATGATAATGATGGATCAGGAAACATAATACTCTTCCATCTGAAAAGGATACTGTGAAATTTTCCGCCTAGTTAAAGAAAAAAAGAACTGTACAATTATTTGCTGCCAGTGACATCTCATATTAGTGCTTATACCAGCATACCATGTACTAAAAAGGGCAATTCTAAGCTTTTATTCCAAGTAAAATAATTCCGCGAAGTAATTCTGACCTTGGGCTTACTCTTCAATGTATTATCTTACATTAGCATTCCTTGGCCACTGGAATGCTCTAGATGCTTTTGACTTCACTTTCATCTGCCCCAGCCAGCTTGGCCAGTAGCCAGAGATCCAATAGTCAGAGAGTTGTAGTCCAAAGCATCAGGTTGGGGATGGTTTTCCCCCAGTTCATACTTCTACTTCAAGGCCTGGTATGCTACTAGGCCATTATACTTGTTATATTCTGCCACATCTTACCTTAAAACATGTGATTTTAAAACAAAAACAAAACAAAACCTCAAGCTCAAAAGAGGTAGTAATCAGCCACTTAATTCCCAGACACCCTCTCCTATATAAGGAGGCAAACCTAGTTCAATGAAACCTGCTAAGAAAACTGGTAGGACTGTGAAAAACAGCTGATGATGCACCATGACCTCATCATACTGGTTTCATCTCCTAGAACAGTAACACAGCAGAATCAAAACAAATGTGGATGCCTTGGAGCTTCAGGTAATGATTATGACTGGCACTTCCACTGATTAGTGAATGAAACTTTGGTCTTCCAAAAGGATAAGCAATATGCAGCCCATTAATGGCATATGATCCTGCCCCACAAAATTAAAAAAAAAACCTAGAACGGCATTCGTAGGAGTTACGGCCCAAATTGTCAAATGTAGATTCTTTGCAGAGTGAAATATGCCCTTTTGGCACACTGCAGTAGCTCTAGAGTGCCAAGAGGGTTAAATTTAGCATGCCAACATGCTAAATTTACCTATTTGTAGAACTCTGTGGCAATATAGAGCACTTTGCTGCAAAACTTTAGAGCCCAACTGGCAATTTCCGGTCTCTCCCCCCCCCCCCCCACTTTTTGGGGCATGGCAGGGGGAGTATACCACAAAATGTGGCAAGGGAGAGCAATGGCCCTTGGCCCTCTGGTCATTTATCCCTCCCTGGTTGCCCCCCTTTCCCCAAGAAAGACCAAAGAAAGGTCATCATTCAGTCCTAATTAGCTTTTCGGAAAAAAACAAAACATATCCACTTTAGAAGTTGTTGCAGGTGAAAGATTTATGTACCTTGACATTGTAAGATCTACAGACAGCATTCACCCAATCCATCAGCAGCTTTACTTTTTCACTGTAGTTTTCAGATGAATAAAAGCTATTGCTGTCCTTTCTCACTTTGCTAGCAGCAGAAGATGCCAAAGCAGTAGCCTTTGCTTTTTTTTCATACATGTTGTTTAAGAAACCAATTTCTTCTTTTAACTGATCCATATCTAATGACACATTCACCTAAGCAAGAACGCACACAAAACAGTGTTCTTTTTTCTTAGCCTTTATTTCATGCAGTTAAATTGATAACACTGAGAAATTATTTTCAGAAAACATCTAAACTTTGATATTTACAGTTGTTTGAATCAGATTTTTTCTCAAGAACTTGCTAAGAAACTGGCAAAGGGCAAATTCACACAACATAATAAGCCACACTATTCAAAATGTGCTCAACAAATGACTGGGCAGCTCGTGGGTTGGATGTACTTTCCCCCTTCCTCAGTCATCCCATAGGTAGCCCAGAGGAGGACACTACGGAAGATCAAACCATCTACCTGCACCATTACACTCACTGCAGCCTGACTTTCCCTTCAAAGGTTTGCTGGGGCAGATCACAAAACCTGACCATCAAGCCAGCTTTCACGATTCCCATTTCTCTCCAATAAGCCTCAGTGAAACCATGGAGATGTAGCCTATGGTTGCCCCTCAATAATTTGTGCAAATAAGAGGGTTTGATTTTTTTTTAACCAGCCTTGCCAGATGAGAGCATGTCCAGGGATGGAATGTACCCTGGAGGGGTACTGGCGAGGGAAGGTCACCAAATCTGACAGGTATCCACTCTGTACAGTGCCTAGTCCAGACAGCAGGTAAATATTTTTTTTTCCCTTTGCAAGCATCTAACAAGTGTCGGATGCCAAAACTTCAGACGCTTGCACCAGTCTGAGAAATATTTATTTGCAAAAGGGGCACATTTCCCCTTTTTGCAGACAGTTCCTCAGGTTTCTTCTGAAGTGATGAGGTACCCCTACAATCCCCTCAGTTTGGGAGAACGTTAAAACCAGAAGGGGATTGCCACAGACAGGTTTGATCTGTGTAAAGCTCCTTAAGTAAAATGAATTGCAAAACAAAGCATGGCTTGTTCAGGGTAGCTCATAAGAAAAACTTAGACCATTCAGACAAACTCATCCCTTGTTTGGACAACATATTAAACCATTCAGCTTATTATGTCATGCAAATCCTGTAGGTTTTCAGAATAACACTTAAAAGGCACCAGAAAAATGATGTGAAATATCTTTGAAAGCTTTAGTTTTGTTGCTTAGGCCAAGGGGTTACATGGCCGAAAGCAATGCTAAGAGTGTAATCTTAGACATACACGTATCTGCTAAAAAATAAATCGCATTAACTCAATAAGGCTTACTTGCAAGCATGTATAGCGGGGACAGCCAGACACGCTCAACAGAAAAGCCACATAACAGTACATGTCAGATGCATGAGAGCCACAAGTGGGTGCCCGCAGGGCAGCAAGGGGCAAACAGGTGCCCACAGGTGGCAGTGAGCTGCAAAATAAACTCAAAGAGCCACATTACAGCCTCAGGTTGCAATCCTTCACAGCCGTAACTAAATTAAGATTTACTTTTGAGCAGACATGGGTAGGACTGCCATAAACAAAACTATGCTTTCTTTTATGGGAACTACAAGACATAATTGCCAGATTTAACTGCAACGATCACGGTTCAGCAGAAGGGTAATAACTGGATCTACCTAATTTTTCTTTCTGGCAACCTGAAAACATGCTAAGGGTCTGAAGATACAATATTACATATCCTAGAATGTAATACATCCTCAATGTATGTTGTAAGGATTATCCTATTTTTATTATGCATACCTGAAAAGCAAACACTGTTTTCCACAGCAATGCAAATGTTTTCTCTCTGTGCCGATCCACAATATCCTTTGCCTCAATTGCTGCACCTATAAATCAAACTTGTCAAAGATTAACAGAATCCACACACTTGTTTTATAAGGCTTTGTCCTGGCAATGCTTCTGAAAACCTACCATGATCATCTTTTAACTGAATCCCATGGTCTTTCAATACCTGAAGGGCAATTTTGACATTATGCATCTTTTGAAGTCTGCTTATTGCAGGAACTCGTAAGTTTTTGGAAAGACTCCAGTCTGATGACAGAAGCTCTAATGCTCTCCTGAAAATAGAAACATTCCATGTTAAAAGTAAACCACTACTTCACAAGTAAAATCTTTCTGTAGCTTCAAAAACAAAAATTAAAAACTTACACCAGGCGAATACCACATTGCAAATCTACAGCTAGATTTGTTACAGCAAAGTCGAATTCATCAAGTGGCGTCTGCACGTGATTAACTGGAAAGCCTAGGAAGCCAAGGTGGCGAGACAAATCACCTTCTCCACTTAGAAAATCTCGAGAAAATGCTAGTAACAGCTCTTTACTAGACTAGAAAGAAAGAAAGAAAGAAAGAAAGAAAGAAAGAAAGAAAGAAAGAAAGAAATCAATACACACTTACATATAAGCAGGCTACAATTCTGTGCAATTAGTGATACTAATTTTCAAGAAGAGATGTATTTGACTCTGCTATAAGGTAAGCAAAAAAAGTATCTATAACCTCCCCTTCTTTGCCTTAACCCAATCGTGGGCATTAGGCCTGCTAGTTGCCATCAGTGTCTAAAACTTCAATAAAAGCAGACTGATGACTGCCTATTTCTCAACATACAAAGAAAATCAATTTGCATTTCATGCCAAGCACTTGATTTTCTTTTGTGAGTAATAAATAATATTCACAGGAAATGCACAGATCATTTAAAATTCATATGGCAGTTCTTTTTTGTGGCTTTCAGAGAAATCTGCTAATAAGGCACAGAGCTAATGTAACAGAGGCTAAAATGAGAGTACCTTGAACTTGGCATCTTTACAAAAGAGGCACGGGTCATGATCGATAATTCTAGACAATTTGGCACGATCAAGGAAACAAACCAGTAGCAGAAGCTTTTTCAGTGTGAATTTGGATAATGCTTCTTCGTGACCTATAAAAACAACATCAGATTTTATAAAGAGATACATGTTACAGCTATGAATCAAATCATACAAGAGTAAAGAAACACCATTACCATCTCGATAAAGGTGAGGCACAGTTGCATGTCTGTATTCAGCTGCAATATCTGGATTCCACAACAACCGATTGAGTATAAACATTGCCAAGCCCATCACATCACTGTTGCTTTCCAAGGCAATCAGTTCACCATAGACTGCCTGTTAGATAATGACATACAAGTTTAAAAACCCCAACAGCAATACAGTTCAGATCTTCAGAATTTAGCCGTGATACAGAAATATAGCAGTAACAATACAATATTTACAGTTTTTTCTCTGACAAAGCCAATGAAAATGATTCAGGCTCAGGTCGCCAAATAAAACATCAATGGTTAAGCAGCTAGTAAATAATTCAGTCCAATCTCCAAATACAGTAAAGGAGTTTGCCTTTATTGAAAAGCAGCACAAAATTGTTGTAGGGAAGATACTGCTATGTTCTGCTCTATCATTTTGTTTATATTTTTCATAGAGATAAGAGGCCCTTTGAACTACAATTTCTATTCTTCATGGCCTAAGAAAGGCTACAAAGTTCACAAGTTTTAAGATGATTTGCAATCCATACCTAACAAAATTATGTTATGCAATTTATGAAAAAATTCTTGAAAAAAGTTTAAACCAACTGTTAAACCAACCTACAGCATCCTCGCATTTCTCAGAGGATGGGCAGCCAATAGATGGTGGGAGGGCTGTGGAAGTGAGGATTGCCTGAGCACTCTCCTCCCTGCCCCCACCAAAAAGAAAAAAGAAAAAAAAACATTTAAGACAGCCAATTTCTAAATATTTATACCAGCTCGCAAAGAGATGAGCTAGAGGCACCACCAAGATTTCTTGTACGATGGTGATGCCTCACTCCTCCCCTCCTCCCAGAATGTCCACCCAACATTGGCTCTGAGGTTGGTCTTGTGACCTCAGAATGGAAACAGTGACTTTGGCTGTGAGGTTAGAGTTGGGGCTTCAAATTATCCTACTGTCATTTGGAGAGCACCTAACTGCCCCAGGACTGCATCTAAATGGTGTTAATCTAACCTTTGAAAGAAACTTTGAAACTAAACAATTAGTTTAGGCTTGACTGAGCAAATTGGAAATAAGATGAGACAGATAGCAAAACCTGAATAAGCTAAATGAATTTGTTTCTTACTGCTAATTCCACATTAATTTCATTAACTCAATGTCAGGTCCATATCATGCATATCAAGTTTTAACTTGTTTTATTTAAGATTATTTTTACTTGATATTTAAGGGCAACAACTGAGACAATAATGTGGGAGAAAGTGAAGGAATGATGACTGATGTCAAAAGAAGGCGCCAATTCATGTTGCAAGAAACAGATTGCTAAATATTGATTTATAAACAGATTCCTATCTAATATTTCAATTGCCTATGCAACTATTCAGAGTAGCTTGCAAGCGTTTAACACTGCAGTCATAAAAGAAAAGCAGTAGTAATTAAAAAGCTTCTGTCCTCAGGCATAACACTAGGTATATTATGGGATGCATAATGTGAGATTTGACTACTGACAATCACCGTTACCAAGCTTTATGTTCTGCACCAACCAGACTTAGGATCGAAGAAGTCAATGGTCAAGCCAACTTCAAGCCAACTGCACAGGAGAAATGTATTGCTTCAAGTATACTATTGTCAAACACTTTAACCATTTAAACAAACACTTACTTCCAGACCTATGCGCAGCCATAGTGGGTTATAGCATAAAAGCCAGTTGAGGATTTTCTGCCTCTCTCCTGCAATGAAGACATGAGTAAGCGCATAACAAAAGGGAAATATGGCTGGAAAGAATATTACATATCCTTATGTATCCAATATGAAGTTGAAACTGTGTATTGTGGATGATAGAACTAATGGGTATGCAGAGGCTGACCCATTTCACTGTATATACACAATTTGAGACCACACTTCAATTTTCCCGTTTTTGGGCAAGGTGTTGGAATGTGTGGTGGCGGGACAACTCCAGGTACTCTTGGATGAAACTGATTATCTGGACGCATTTCAGTCCAGCTTCAGACCCGGGTACGGTATTGAATCTGCCTTGGTCGCCCTGTATGATGACCTGTGCAGGGAGAGAGACAGGGGGAGTGCATCCCTGTTGATACTCCTGGACTTCTCAGCGGCTTTTGATACCATTGACCATGCTATCCTTCTGGATAGGCTAGCGGGATTGGGAGTTGGGGGCACTGCTTTGCAGTGGTTCCGCTCCTATCTCAATGGCCGATTCCAGAAGGTGGTGCTGGGGGACTATGGCTCTGCGCCATGGCAACTATGCCATGGAGTACCACAGGGTTCCATTTTGTCCGCCTTGCTATTTAATATCTACATGAAACCGTTAAGAGAGGTCATAAGGAGGTTTGGGCTGTGGAATCATCAGTATGCTGATGATACCCAGCTCTACCTCTCTTTTTCAACCGATCCAGGTGAGGCAGCAGCTGTGCTGAACCGGTGCCTGGCCGAGGTAATGGGCTGGATGAGGGCCAATAAACTGAAGCTCAATCCAGATAAGACGGAGGTTCTGTTGGTTGGTGATTCGAGCTCCTGGGTGGGTGACTTGGGTCTTGCCCTGGACGGGGTTGCACTCCCTCTAAAGGACAGGGTCCGCAGCTTGGGAGTGCTCCTCGACCTGAAGCTGTCCTTGGAAGCTCAAGTGACAGCGGTGGCGAGGAGCACTTTCCTTCAGCTTCGGCTAATCTATCGGCTGCGTCCCTACCTGGAGGAGAATTGCTTAGCAACAGTAACACACACAATGGTTACTTTCCAGTTGGACTTCTGTAACGTGCTTTACGTGGGGCTGCCCTTGAAGACAGTCCGGATACTTCAGATGGTTCAAAATAGAGCTGCCAGGATGCTGTCAGGGACTGGGCGTTATTCTCATATAACCCCAGTCCTCTATCAGCTTCATTGGCTTCCCATCGAAGTCCGGGCTCAATTCAGAGTGCTGGTTATTACCTATAAAGCCCTAAATGGCTTGGGACCAGGATACCTTAAGGAATGCCTTTTTCCCTATTTGCCCTCCCAGCCCCTGAGATGGGCAACAGAAGCCTCCTCCGGGAACCATCTGTGAAAGAAGTTAGGAGACAGAGTACCAGGAGAAGGACCTTCTCTGTGGTGGCGCCCCAACTGTGGAGTGCGCTCCCCAGAGAGGTCCGCCTGGCGCCGTCAATATATGTTTTTCGGCACTAGGTTAAGACTTTTTTATTTAATCAATATTTTAATATGTTTTAATATTGAATTTTAATATTGTACTTGCAGCCAGAGTGGGTCATTAATTTATTTATGTTGTTTGCCATCTAGAGATGCTGGTAATTGGATGGCATATAAGTTTCATAAATAAATAAATAAATAAATTTTCTCTACATAAACAAAAATTACATTCTTACCAATGTCCTTCCACAGATGTCTGTCCTTTCGAACTAGCAAGCGTTTTGCTTCAATCTCAACCTCGAGCCTTTTTATTGCTTTAACCATTTCATCAGAGGTAAACAGACGGCAAGCTGAGCGGCGAAGCTTATTTAACTTGCACCGAGCTGTATATGCTCTTAAAGACGCTTCTTCTTTGGTTGGTGCTTTAGGAACACTGCATTTATGGTAAGACTCTGTTCCCAAGATAAGGGATGCAGCATTGACTGAAAAAACAATTGCACATATTGATATATCTTCTCCCACTAGAAAATCTGGTTCAGTCAACTGGAGCAACTTGTTTTGCTAGTATGTTTCTGTGACAGAACTGTAGAAGCCGTATTTTGACTGGGCGAGAAAGCCAAACAATTGGATTCTTGTGCTCTGTAACACAAATTTGGACTAAAAGGTCTAATAACCAATTTCTATCTCTGATTCTGGAATATTAGCAATGTTAATATTGCAACAGTTTAAGGGGTACTTCATGCCGCAAGTTCAAGTAATCAGGATTTATAAAAGCTCCACACAAAAAGGGATAGAACAGGGGTACAACATTTAGGAGTCCAATTATAACAGTTTTAAGTAGACAGTGAACAATTTTTAAAATAAATGAGAACTACAGTACTAATAAGAAGCAATCTAATTACCATGAGAAAATACTGTTTCCCAAAGGTGAAAACAAATACAATATGGACAGCCTTGAATTAAGGCTTTCAAGGAAGCAATGTCCTGAAATACAGACCCACATTTGTTACAATGAAACAATGTTTCTTAATCAAACTTGCCAAATTAAAGCAGCTGTGCACATATGAATCCAAGAGATGATTCAAATCAATAAATATGCCAAAATGCATTATTGTTTATATTATTTTGTGGTTCTATGTTATTTAGCTATGACGGCTCAAGACCCAGTTACCTTGACGAGCACCCACACCTATATATGCCTACCCGGCCTTTGAGATCTATCCTCCTGTGTGAGCCATCCCCTAGGAAAATGAAAGGGGTGGATGCTAGGAAGAGGGCCTTTTCTGCAGCTGCTCCCCATATATGGAATGCTCTCAAGATTTGCCTGGCGCCTTCTTTATACACTTTTTGGCGCCAAACAGAGACCTAACTTTTTTTTTAAAGCATTTTAATAGTTGATGCCACTAAACCTGTTTAGGCATACAAATGCTATGAATGAATGAATGAATGAATGAATGAATAAATACATGTAATTATTTTATTGTTTTTACTAAGTATACAATGATTTTACTGCCTCTGAATTCTGTAAGCTACCTTGTAAGGAATTATTTTAAAAGGCATGGTAACTAATGATGATAATTTATATCCTTCCATTTCAAAAAATAGTCTTTGTTTTGCATTACTCTCTCCTTTCCTATGTTCACACTGTAAATTAAATACTGAACTCAGACAAAATGGGTTTTTAAAGGAAAAAATCCATCATAAAGAGTGCCCCTTTGTTTTGGGTTTAATTCTTTTCTATTATTGAATTAGTAACTCTCTTACAAAGTCTTATAGATCCTTAATCCACCAAAGGAGTTTTTTTCCAACCATTCAAATGCTCAATGGAAAACCAATCCAATCAACCTAGCAGGTTAGGAAAGCATTTGTTTTCCGTTAAACATTTGAATGGTGGAGGAAAACCACCTACAAGTCATGACAGAAGTTCCTACATGTCATCAAACTAGCCAGTAATAATAAATGTTTCTCTTCCCATCTAGCTGCTACTTGCAAAAGAAATTATTCTGGAATTGTTACCTTTGCTGATAACAAACTTTTTGTTTGATACTTTATAACTTAAAATATATAAGATCCCCATTGTGAAATTGTTATTCTTTAAAAGATATTGAAACATTTAAAATATTTTTAAAAATAACAAATAGCTAGAAATCAAACTAAACAAGCATCCCATAAAACAAGTCCCAGATTGCCAACCAGGAGAAATAATGCTCCATCACTTATCAGAAAGTCAATTGCCTGTAAGCTTAGACAGGTGTTCAGATGTCTTCCAGATATCATAAATGGGGAGGCCAGCCGGATCTTCCTGAGCAGACAGTTCCAAACCCTAGGTAAGGCTAGAGGAAAGGCCCTCTCAAGTGTGCTTGCCAACAGCAGGACACACAAAATCATCCCAAATCATAATTGGCAGGGACAGTCATTTAATGGAAAGTTTATAAAAATGCACACTGGACTACTGAAATCAAGAGCAAGTTTGGTTTAAGTGCACCCTTTCTGAAATATTACAGACTATGTAGATAAGTTTACCTTGGGAAGTATCCATTTTCACTGTAAAGTCATCAGGAGTAAGTACAAAATTCAACCACCAAGTAAACCCTCGTTGCTGTTTCTCTATCCAGCGCTCGTCATAAAACATGTTCTTGGCCGCAAAAGGCATTGGATGTCTAGGAACATCTTTTAAAAGAATTAAGTTGTGTTAATTTTCTACATGAAGATCCCAGTCCAGTGACATATACAGCACTGTTCTATTATAGAGAGCAGAAGCTAAGAAACGATGACACAGACATCCCCTAGTACATATATTATCCGAGGGTGCATACTATGGGATAGATTCAGAGCAATGCCTAATGGAGTTTCACTTGTGTTGAAGGCCATCTTTGTTATTCTTCCTTTCCACTGCTACTCCTGAAAAACTGCTCTGGAGGGTTGGAGCAGTTTGAGAAATGACACAAGTGTCTGTAGGTGGAAGATAAAAGATGCTAATTTCAAGCAGCAGGGAACCTCTGCTGGTTCCCGTTGCCTTCTATGCACAGAAGGAACAGCAAACTTGAATCCAACCCAATTTAACTGCACTTACACCTAGCTTTTCTATACATTTTACTATTCAGTATAGCCAAAAAGATGTCCAAGGTGGCTAAAATAAATTCATATTAGAAAGCAAAGTACATCGTAATCTTTTAAAGGAGCATGTTTATATTGAGCTGGGTTTTATTGTGCTTTTTCAGAGATGTAGTAACAATGTATTTACATAACATCAGAATGTGGAACTTGAGATTGCTATAAAATACTTGTGGAGATCAAATTTTCACCTAGCACAATATTTATTTTATCAGATTTATATCCCTCTATTTTCCAACAAACTCAAAGCGGCTTACTTCATTCTCCGGCTGCTGCTCTCAATCTTATCCCCAGAACAACCCTGTGAGGTAGGTTGGGCTGAGTCTCTGTGACTGGCCCAAAGTCACCCAGTTGGCTCCATGGCTGAGCAGGGACTAGGACCCAGATCACCTGAGTTCCAGTCCTGCACTCTTAGCCATTATACCATACTGGTTCTTCACATGTACCTCATAAAAGAGAAAGAAGTGTTCTATATTTATATTAATCTGCAGATATTTTACCATACTTCTTCAAAGATTTGTCACTGTAAATCCATAATCCAGCTAAACCCTATCAAGTGCACAAATAAACTGATAAAAAGGGATTTTTCCCTTTTTCCTGGAAAATACAAAGAATCAAAATTTACTCTCACCTGTTTTCAAAGGCTTCACAAATGTCAGATGAGACTGTGCAACAGGAACAGTATTTTTACTTCTTCTAACAGTCTTTGATTTTTGTGATAAGGTACCTGAAATTTTTTTAAAAACAGGAATATTGTCCAGACCACACTAGACTAGAAAAGGCGAAAAACAAAGAAGCCATGCAAGTGAGCCATAATTTTGTGGCGATCTTTCTCAGCTGAAAAGGTTTATTATTTCAAGATTATATAAACCTCTTCAAGGTATACAAGAAAAATCAGATAGTTACTGCTAGCAGCAACAAGGAAAGAAAAATTTACATGAAATCAGTGTGTGCAGATGAATAGAGCATCAGTGATGGGGGGAATTGCATGTAAGACCTGAGGATCTGGCACAGGCTGGGCACTTCTGCAGTACATGTCATACGAAAGCTATATACTTTGGGGGTACTAAACATCAGTGCCATTTGCACACACAAACACTCACACAGAGACTTCCACTGTGCTGCATTCAGTATGATTTACTGTAGATATAACAAGACAATTCCTACCAACGTGCAATAGCAAATATTTTCTTTAATATAACCATTTTTTAAAAGCATACATTACCCATTCTTTTTTTTGGACTTTGCTTCCCTTTGTTCACAGTTTTTGGAATGGTTCTTTTGAAAGCACTCTGATTTTCATTTTCTACACAAGATACCAGGATTTTTTTTGTTTCAAAATTCTCTATGTATTCTTTACATCCACTAATAGTATCTTCTAAATATCCTCCACACTTTCTTTTACGTTGATATGAAGATGACACCAAACAAGCAGAACCTGTTTTGACTTGGAAACATTTAGCTTCACCTGAGACAGGTTCTATAACTGGAAGTCTTGGCAACAGTTCCGATTTTTCAGTTTCAGGAATATCCACACATTGCTGTATAGCATTAGAAAGACATTTTCTGGAATGTGGTTTCAGCATCTCTAGTCCTTTTCGATCAGAAGAATCTGGCTTACTTTTAGTAACAGTATTGGAAAGAACAGGCCTTTTTTTAAGCTGTTCTTTCTGGAAACAGCACACCTGGTTTTTGTCAGTTTTTCTGTAGCTGCTAATTTTTTGTTCAACTGTCACATATGAAGGTGTTGCCATTTTTCTATCGTGTACATTGTTACGAGATTTCTTTGCAATCTGAGGTTCCACAGAAAAAGTTACAACTTGCATCTTTTCTTTCTGTTTTGGAAAAATTGTCCTTGGCATGCAAGATTCCTCACTTGGAGAAACAGACATAGATTTAGGAACCTGTGAGGTTGGCTGAACAAGTTGATTTTCTTTTAAAAACTGATCAGGTGAAAGAATTGGCACTGCTCTAACAGGTTGTTCAGTAAGTTCATAGGTATTATTTACAAAGGAATCAGGGCTTAAAAGCTTCCTATGGTTCACAGCAACCTGCCATCTTTTTGATTGTTCTGGAGTGCAAGCTGAATTTGTATCAGAACTTTGTAGAGTTCCCAATTTGGTTTCCACAGAGTAGTCACACAGTGGCATAATAGAACTGGTTTCTTTTACATCCTTCAGTAATTCATCATATACTGCTGTGCCAGAAACAGGATATGTAGTTGATCTCCTCATTGAAAGAGGGGTATAAGTGGCATGCTGGTTTTCTTGAAGGATGGGACTAATAGGAGAGAGAGAGCGCTTATTTTCCAGAAGGATTAAAGAATCCTCATTAGGTGAAGGGTGATCTATGTTCACTTCCCAGTTCTCACAGGCCCGAAGAGGGCTTCTACCTCTATCAATTTTTTCAGGCATCTGAAAAGCTGCATCAGCATTTTTAATAGATCGTCTTTTCTTACATCGTGATTGTAGTGCAGGAGTTCTCTTTTTAATAGTATCCCAAAGACACTTCTGAAAATGACACCAATACAGATAAGCACCTATTAATGTGCATATATTAAAATCCCCAAATGCATATATAATCCCTTTATTTCTCCCTGTATACATAATATAGGAGCAACATACATTTGTTGTAATATTTTTGCTACTAATACAGCAAGCTTCAGTATTAATCCAATCTTGCAAAGTAAAAAGCAGTAAAGATAGCAAGTTGTCAATATAACCTGACACATCCAGTATGCTGAACTCAGTGGCTGTTTTCAATTTTGTGGAATTCAAAGCATTTCATGCATCCCAAGGTTGTTAAAAGCAAGTGAACTACCCAAAGATTTTGGCAGGAATGGGGAAGGAGGAGAGCTGTGGAGATTTTTAGGAAGTGGAGACTTTTAGGAAACTTTCATCTATGGAACGTTTGATTAAACCACCCCAGTCTGCTTCCTGCTACTTCAAATACTGGCTGGACACCCTACCTACAGCTACCCAGAAGAAATTTTTGATCTGCTGAAGAAACGATAAACAACTGCATGCAGAAGTTGCAAGCCAAAGCAAAAACCTAGACAGTGCCTAGAATAAGCAAAACAATAGAAACTAGAACAATTGTTTACCTTTTTCTTTAAGGATTGCTCTGCAACACCCAGCAAAACTGCTTGATATTTAACCACATCATTTGCAATAAAGGCAACGAGTTCCCGAACTTTGCCACCTTCCAGTGGTGTCCACGTTATTGAAATGAATATTCTCTCTCCAGGCTGCAAAAGAACAGCACGAAATATCAGAGGGAGCATATTTGAACATATGCAAAAAAAAAAATCTCCATTTTCAAAGACAACAGCCACATAGATCCAGATGCATCTCTTTACATGCTGCAAGCAACATCTAGGCTGCACAGCTCCATCTAAGCATATTTTAGCCATGTCCGTGCTTCATGGAGACAATGCTCCCAAATACAAGTGGGGCATCAAATCAAGCCAGAACTTTCCCAGGAAGCGAAAAACGGCTCAACTGAAGCTGTCATCGTTTGGGCAGATCAGGAGAAATCACGACTCACTGCAGAAGACAATCATGCTAGGGAAAGGCAAAGACAGAAGAGGAGATCGGCTTTGAACGGGATCAGTAAAGGCAGCCACAGCCTTGAGTTTACAAGAACAGAGAGGGCTGGTGAAGGTACGCATTTGGATCGCTACAAGTCGGACGTGACTTGGCAGCGCGTAACCACAGCAGCGCCACGATCAACCACACACTCCGCCCTGAACGTGCCCGGCTCCTGTACGGATCCTCCCCATCCTCACGGAGGCGGCCCTGCCAAAGCACCTGAAGATGGAAGGGGCCCTGCTCCACCGTGAAGCCCTTCGAGGCGGGCGGGGGGCGGCAGACGGCCAGGCACACGGGCTCGGCGTTGGCGTTCTCCACGGCCAGGCGACAGGCGCGCGAGGTGCCCACGCGGACGGCGCCGAAGCTGAGGAAGGGCGGCCGGGCGAAGTGGCTGAGCCTCAGCACGGCGGGGCTGCCGCCCGCCCCGGCGTCGTCGCCATCGCGGCCCTGGCCGGTCGTCCAGCAGCGCCGCCCCCGCGCGAGCGAGCCCAGCGGCCTCCCCGCAGCCATGGCCCCGGGGGCGGAGGGGATCCGCCGCGTCGCCTCTCCCCGAAGCGGCCCAGCGCGTCTGCCCGCGGCGCCGGAGACGCTCCTCGCAGACCCGGACCCCACAACCGCCGCTCCGGGATTCAAACTCCGCGGCGGCTCCAATCAGCGGCGCCGGACGCCTGACCAATCCCCGCGCCGCAGTCTCCTTCCAATCGCCGATAGGGAAAGGCTCAGCCAATCGTTCGAGCCGCCCCTTGCCCCGCCTCCTTTCAGCCGTTTCAAAGTACTCCGGTTGTCAAGTTCCTGCCGCCCACCAATGACGCGAGAGGGTTTATTTGAAAGGGGTGCGTGGGTCACGCGTGTTTGGACGCCGCGGCGGGGCGTGTTTGGGAGGCTGCGTGGCCCAGCTGGTTGCATTCGCGGGGTCTCTTTAAGGGGCGGCCTGATGTCATGATGGCCGACGAATATAGGAAGCTGTGAGGCTTCTCATCTCTGAAGATGCATAGGATCTTACGCAGCAGTAGAGGCGGAATGAGACCCGCGGATTACTGCATAGCCTTACTGGGAGCTGGGTATTTCCCACGGCCAGGGGTCGGCAACCTTTGACACTCAAAGAGGCATTTGGACCCATTTCCCACACACAAGAAAACACTGGGAGCCGCAAAACCCTTTTGACATCTGAAATGAAGATAACACTGCATATATCGTTTTTTACCTTCATGCTGTGCATATCTCATTATGATTTAGCTGCAGCTCTTGTTCAGTCACTAAAAACTGTTATTTTTCATCTTACATCATAAACTAGTAGGACTCCTTTCATATATTTTGAATTCATATATTTTGAACAGCTTCCTGAAGAGTCAAAGTCAGTGCTAAAGGGCTGCATGCATTAAACAGCAAACCCCGTAAGTTCGTCAGCAGTAAAAGCAAATGAATCTACTCACGTATCATTAAACGTTTGGTTTTCTTCAGAAACTTCCTTTCTTCAATTTATCCATGGTTGGCCTACAGCAGGGGGCGGGGGAGAGCTCAGTAAGGAGATATAGGTGTGTTTAGTGACTGATTAGCAGATAAACAGTCAAGTGCTGTGAATTGTGACAGGTCCCAAGCACAGCTTTTAACATTCAGATAAAGGAGATTACATTGGGACAGAGAGAATCTTTTCAGCAGCTTTTCGTGTAACATGAGAGCCTGCAAGAAGCTTGTTTAGCAGAGGAATGTAGCGATTGACTTAACTAGCTAGCACTGCCTTCCTGAGTGGAGCTTCCAGCAGATCAGCGGCTGTGCCGGCGTGTGTTTTGAGCAATGGAGCCGCAGCAGAGGGGTTCAAGAGCCACGTGTGGCTCCGGAGCCACGGGTTGCCGACCCCTGCCCACAGCAAAGGGTCAGATGGTTTAATGTAATATGTGCTTAGGTCCCATGTTCAGTCCTGAATATCTACTGTAAAGCTAGAAAAAACGAAACCCTGGCGAGCCAATGCTGGTCAGCGAATGCAATACAATACAATCTTCTGACCTATCTCTAGAACTAAAGATGACGAACTTTATAAATCGTGCAGCCTAGCTGCTCTCTAAATATTCTTTCACCAATTCCCCTTCCTTGCAGCTGCACTGGTGGATTACAGAAATGATATGCAGCAGCTCAAGTTTTGTTACTTGAAATGTCCCAGAGTTGAATCATGGATCACTGGCAGATAAAGGTTTTCTTATGCAATGGCCCTGCACCAACCAAGGGAATTTTAGGGACTGTCCAGATAATATATTCTAAAAGGATGAAATACCTTTGCTGGGACTTAATTATTTGTTCAAAGGCTTTAGACAAAACCATGATACCATTTTTAGTCCAATTCTTGACTATGGTTGTACCCCCTAGTAGAACTTAGCTTCCTAGAGATTCTCTGAAATAGAATTTGGACAATGAAGTGAAAAAGTTCTGCACCTCTGATTTAAGGAATCTGGTTAGGGAAAAAACAGAAGCTAGAGCAAATGAAAAGACCTCCGCTTATCAGTTTAGGAAACAAATCAGAACTATATGAGTAGCAAGAAGCAACAGTGTCATCCTAGAAGCAGAAGCAATGAAAGAGAAACCTCTTTAGAAACCAGAAACCCATCACTTAATGGGTACAAAATGTCTGGATGTGTTTATCTACGCAATTAATTTATTTGGCATCTTTATGGTTTTTTGAGGGTGCAAAATGCTTCACCTACATCTCCAGTACCATGCAAAGCTCAGGTAAATTCTATACTTTTGCAAAAAGCATCAGTACTCACAAGACTAGGTTCAAAGTTTGGATGTTTCTGAAATATAAGTTTATAAAGTACTTAAAAGTAAGAAAGAAACAAGGAGTTGTACAAATATCTTGCTTGATTTGAAACTCAAATATACAGACAATTATTAGACAAATCCATTGCAGAGTCCAACCTGTTCAAACTCTTCTACAGCAATAATGGCTACAGAAAAAAAAACCCTTTATACTTTCTGTACATATTCAACAAAGTCACACACAAAAACATCTTGAGGGAGGGGGAAGTAACAGGTGCATGTGGCACAGCAAGGAGTAGTGGTATGGAAAAAAGGACAGCAAGTGCTTTGGGGGAGAGAAAAGGGGGTTCTGAGAAAGTTCGGTATGTTGGATAGACATGCAAAGAAAGCGGGAAAGGAGCAGCAGAGGTGAGCAAGTCTTAGGTCAGTACTAACCAGAGTGGCAACCATTTGAAATATGGTCATGAGGTGTTTTCTCTGTGGCAAGCATCTTTTGTCAATTAGACTAGCATCTCACCCCGCTTCTCATTTCTATACTGCTCAGTCAGATCTCGTACTAACAGTATTCCACATTTTAAATGGCTTTATACTTAAAATTTATTTAAAGCTTTTATATGCCATCTGGTACTAGTCCCTGGACAGCTTACTGAAGTATAGTGCCGCTCCTCTTCAGAATATGTTGTTTCGCTCTGTTCTGCTAGCACACATCATGGGTTACTAACCATAAATGCAATTTTTGCTGTCCTCTGGCCTGAGTCTTCAGTTACATGAAAAGTTTACCATGCATTTGCATTTTAAACAAACATCACACCACTATCTGGAGGTATAAGAAGAGATTGCCATGTAAAAAGCAGCTGCTTTGCGGACAAGCAACATTCTTCAATAGCATTTGATCTTCAGGTTAAGGGAGAGATCGGTAAATCATGCTCTGTGAGCTAATTTGGAAACCTTTCATTACACTGGAATGTGAGAAAGATTATGAAAATGTACTGGGAAAGCATTATAGATAGTCAGATAAGTCAACATTAATCGTTTTAATTCCATGATCTCCATATCAAAATATATTTTAAAGGGCAGGGCCAAGCCATTTTTTCACATTTAAAACACACTCTGAATAAATATCAAAAGTGTCAAGTTCATATACACATGTTGTTATGCACAAGTAATTAAAAATAAGCAGCCTCCAGTACATGCAGACCCCTCTACTGAACACAACAACCCTGGAAGAAATAGGGCTATAGAGCTTATTTTCCAGAGTATCAGAATGCCAAAACAGATATAGTACCAGGTTGGATCCAAATTTACTTATACTAAGAGTAGATCTGTTGAAATGAATGGGATTGAGATAGTCACAATTAATTTAATTGAAATCAAGGAGACTACTCTATTTTTTAACCTTGCTACTACTAATACACCTCCAACACACACCCATCCCTTTTAAGAATTAAACCTGAAACTGTCATAAAGCCAGGACTTATTTGCTATCTCTTTGGACCAATCTTTCAATAGATATGTTCAATTTGACATATTCTAATATTTAGTCATAACTGAACAAGCAACTTTGGTGTACTTAGGGAACAATTAAGTTTTTGAAACCACCTTCAGCATTTTTGGATTCTGTCCTAAGTTTGGCTAATGCTAAGAAACCACGTAACAACCACCTGTTTCAAGATAATCTGAACTTAATGCACGGGAGTGTCTAACATCAAGCTAGCTTTTGGTTCCATCATTGTTCAGATTTCAGAATATCACATTTATAAAATAAAATACCAGAATGGGTATCAACTACTATATTTGTAGGTGCTACAACCCATTTGTATCTTTCTGAAATCTCAAATATACTTTAGGCCATTCCCACAGCTATCTAAAGAACATAGTTTTTTCTGCATCTCCAGAGAACACTAGAGAACTAATTATCAACATTTAGGAAATTATCAGACATTTAAAATGCCAATCATCGTCAAGATTTACAACTGAGTGCTCAAATCCAGAACTACAATCACAATCAACTACTCAGAAATCACACTGATTTCAATAGAATTTTAATTCTAAGTAAATTTACCTAGAATTACTCAGTTAAATGTTTCACTTGTATCTTGGATCTACTAGTTGCTGTCTAAGGCATTGTGATAAACTATTTTGTATTATAAGGGAAAGATATTTAGGGAATCTTAACAAGGTGAAAGGGCAGGTTATTACTTTTAGTTTTGCAGTCAATATGACTGGGTGAAGGGGGATGATTTAGTGCTTAATTCATAACTTTGCCTTTGAGTATCAGCCACCTTTCTCCGTCAGCACATATATGAGAACAAGGCAAGGCAAGGCTCTTATTTATGTTTATTCGTTACCAGTTCTTATTAAAAGGTTATTTCTCAAGAAAGGATTTTGTATGGTTATTTCTCAAGAAAGGATTTTGCTCATTAACTGTTTGGCTCATCAGTAATTAACCAAAATTAAACCATTTTCATTCCATCTTGGGCTAAAGGGCTCCTCACCCAGGGGGCTTTCAAAGAAAGCATTTATTGCACCAGTTCCCTGCTTCATTCACAGGATTTATTTAAAACCTTTGATGGGAGGAGAAATCCAGATGATGAGAGCCTCCCTCTATAACGCTACTTACTGTGCTATCCTGTAACTTATTTGGCCTTCCTTCTTATGCAGAAAATCTGTTAAGGAGAGAGAGAACAGTATGCCAGTGCTTTAGGACTGACAGTCTGGCAACAGCAGTCCTCCTAGAAGTGCTCACATACTTACTCCCCTAGGGCAAGAACACCAGTGGGCACCAGGGTCACATGCTGCCTTGTTTTTCTCACCACGCATAGGAATCAGTGTCCATACTAAGGGACCCTACATTCAAGAAAACACTGGAGTTTCTGGCCTGGTGTGAACTTCTCCAGTTCCCTCAGGATATACAGAAGCTTTATGGGAGCCATAAAGCTGTTCTCAATTTTATCATGGAGGTAGGTAAGGGCAGGATTCAAACAAACGCAAGGGTGGGTTGTCATCATGGGTGAGTTATTGTGCCATGCAAACTGGGTCCACTTCACTGATGGGGCTTGTTTTCTTCAAATTGCAGCAAAGGACCCTTCCTGGCAAAAGCTCCCTCATTGCTTTCAATAGGCGCTCAGGCTACTTGGAGGAGCGGCAGTGCCCAGAGGGGCTGCCCACCATCCCTTTGTGAAAGGTAGCCTTTTGTGCACTGCCTAAGCCAAAGGTGGGAGTCCCTTCCCCTGCCACTACCCATGGAAAGCAAGCTCTTGTGCCAGGAAGGAGCTGTTTTTCCACAAACTGAAACCTCTTTTAGGCAAGGTTCTGCTCTTCCACTGTTTTTCCCGTTTTCCATGAGAAAGCAACTCCCGACCTGGGGGCTCAGGAAGGTGCACCCTACCCTCCTGCTTTAAAGGTTCTCAGAGTTTACTGGAAAATGGGGCTGTGCTGAAATTCCAGAGCAAGCTGGAATTGGCTCACAATTACAGCTGTCAGAAAGAGAAGGCTCCTGCAACCCTAGAGAGCCCTCTGAAATGCCACCTGGAAGAACAAGGGGCAGGGTGGGAGCAAAGTATCCACAATGAGCTCAATCATCTTGTCAGGCTCATTGTGGGTACGTCACAAAAACAACCAACCCACAACAAATGATTCCCATGGGGATGATGTTGTGATGTCCAAACAAAGCCACTGTTAAAACATCAATTTTAATCTACATAGATTGATATGCTACCATTGCTAACATTCTAACTAAAGCTAATTTTGTCAAAGACAAAATGTACCCTTTGTCTCCAGTAGTGGAAAGACTTGAATTGGTGGATGGGTAGAAGCATACCTGCAGCATAAAGAGGGGCCCACATGTTTTTCACCTAAAACATATGAAAGGAGAAGTGCATGCATGGAAAATTAGAAACACAAAAAGTAAAGAGTCATCTGCAATTGCTCAGGCATGCCATTAAGATTTCTTGACTTTAGTACCTTTTGAAAGTGTCTAAAAATATCTACACAATTCATTTTTCAAAATCACATGATGAATGTACCTCAAGTGCTAAACCACTGCATTAAAAAACCAACGTGTGTCTTCCTCGTGCTCAACAGCTTTCAAAAGACCGAGGAAGCTGAAGACAGTCGAAGAGGCGGATCAGCCTGCAGCCAGCTACATGAATTAGTAAGATTCATGGAATAGAACGTCCCATTAGATGTGTTCATGGCTGTTCATTACTTGAGATATTCTGTACAGAAGAAGCCGTATCCAAACCAAGCAACGTGCCAAGATAAGACTGTTCTCTAGGATCCAGTATTTGCTCAGGCCTGACGGGGTGTACTATGTTCGCAGGCTGGGGAGTAAGAGTATATTTTTCTAGAAATGCCAAATCTGCTGCTTGTTGATAATCTGTTGGAGGGGCCTGTGGAGGAAGAATGTTATGCGGGGAGGCTGTAACAGGAGGTGAATGCTGTACCAGATCAGACTGCGCTTCACGCGTTCGAACAGGTATCAGCGTTACCGGCACACACGTGTCCGGGGATACATTCTGCAGCATCGGTTTGCTCTCGGCTTGGTAAGGCTTGGTCTGTTCCATGAATGGCTTGGAGTCACTTTGAAAAGCCTTGTCGTCAGGCGTATACTGGGCTGGCAAAGAAATGCTTTTCTCCTCCGACACCGGGCTTAGTGATTCTTCCGTCGACTTTCCTCCATGCACATGGTCAGTGTGATATTTCAGCTTGTCCTTTCGTTTAAATGTTGCATTGCAGTATTGACAGTTAAAAGGGCGAGCGTCTGAATGAATAACCATGTGTTTAGTTAACGTCTTCTTAATTCGGAAGGACTGGTTACAAATTTGACATTTGTATGGCTTCTCACCTGCATTGGAAAGTCAGTATCAAGTAAGTAAACATGTCACAGATTCCCAATAATACAGATTGTTTCATTGTTACATGTAAAATTACTTTGCCAAATAATTTGTATAGAACACAGAGTGTCTGGCAAATATTTGAGCAAGACACACACACACACACACACACACACACACACTTTAACATTTATAATCATTCTTTAAAAAAACATTGTAATATATGTGTAATGCCAGCACTAAGGAAACTCATTTTTGAAGTAAAACAAAAAGCAGAAAAACCCATAGGCAAGCTACCTGCATCATTAGTTTCCCCAAAACTCCAACAAATTGACTTTGAAAATCAATGTTGTTGATAACCCACTTTTTTACATAAACACACAGAGCAACCTTTAAATACATAAACTTTTCTGGTGAAGAATAAAATGTGGAGACATTTCTAATGGCATGGTTCCGTTCTGCAGGACCTGTGCCACTGCAGACCACAGATAAGAGGGATGCATGGCCTGAAGACCATGCATTTTAAAACTACCCTCTCAGAATTAATTTTCTAGAACACACAGTTTTCCTAAGTGCTAGCTTTCCACATGACATATGGAGAAATACCTAAATGTGCGAATACTCCTCTGCAGTCTAAACTACCTTTCCACATGCTACAGTACGGTACGTGACACAAGAATGTGACACTGCACTGATACTGTAGGAAAGTTATAGAGAAACTAGGAAGCAAGTAAAATTTGATCATCTGAAATAGATCTGGGCTCTTTCCTACTACTATTATGGATCAGAATATCAAACACTACAAAGCTGCTTATCTAGTAATTTAAGACTCTTTACCTGAATGTGTCCTAAAATGCATTTCCAAACTTGATTTTCCCTTAAAAACTTTCTTGCAGACTTCACATTGATGAAACGTTGCTTTGTATCTTCAAAGGAAAACAAGAGAACAGACTTGTTTTAGAAAATCCCAACCAAGAATATGTCCAACATTTACATGAACAATGTTTACATGAAATCACAGGTTAAACCATTCAATTCTTCCAGTTTTTATGCTCTGTGGAAATGAACTAGTTCATTGATCAAGTTCATGTAAATAAACTAGATCAAAGTTTATGAACCTTTTCAGTCCCTTCTTCACAAAAGCAGACAAATTTATAGACAGTCAAAAGGTTCAGTTATATTTCCTGTGCAAAAGTATTTTTGTTAAATTACTCAACATGTATTCAGTAGTGTGCCAATGCTAGGATGTCTTCACCCAGCTGCTTTGGGAATGTTCACTGTCACTAAGATGATTATCACCAAACTTACTTATTTTCTGCATTTCATTTCCCTCTTACATCAATGTTTAAAATTCCCTCTCTTCAGCACAAAGTCCAGCTACATGTGTATTTACACCTGCCAATCTAACACTTTCATGCATCTGATTAAGTAGATTCTAATTCACAAAAAATGAATCCATAATATGTCATGTTATGTTAGTCATGAAGTCGTGCCTAACCCATCACGACCCCAAGGACAACATTCTTCCTGGCTCTCGTGTCCTCTACCATCCCCCGGAGTCCACCTAAGCTCACACCGATTGCTTCAGTGACTCCATCTAGCCACCTCATCCTCTGCCGTCCCCTTCTTCTTTTGCCGTCAATTGTTTCCAGCATTAATCCATAATAAAGATTCCACAAAACCTTAGCTTTTCTGATCTAGTGCAATAGCTAACATGGATAGTCAAACCATACAGAAAGGACTTTTGAAAATATCTTTAAAGCATGTTCCCACAGAAGCTTTTAAAGAAATATGCACACAACTCCAGTCCAAATCGCTTTGGAGACATTGGTTCAAATTACCCTGGGATTAGCACAATCAAAAAAGCAGAAGTTAAAGCAACTTTACCCTGTGCACTTGCCTCTGACATCTTGGGGTAAAGCCAATTACTGCTGATTTTTCTTTTTATGTTTTATTGCAAAAGAGTGTGTTACTGTATGCTGTTTCAGGGGCAGCTTTTGGCAAAGAAGTAGCATATACATTTCAGCATAAAACACACAGAGACACAGACAGACAGACAGACAAAATCCAAGATCAGGATCTAGGATGTGTGTGTGTGTGTGTTTTGTTGTAGTTGTTTTCCTTTGTTTTTGTTTTTAAACTAATTTGCAGTCTTTGTGGCTGCTTTGAAGATCAGGAAACTATGCTAAGAGACATTGGCCTTTTCTCCCACATAGTTTGCTGATCTGAAATGCCCCCAACTTAAAGGCCTGAAGGAGGATTCAATTCAGACACATGTGATACTGTGGCTGAGTATCTTTCTCAAAATCTGGTGCGTAAGCGGAGGGGGAAGAAGTATGCTGGCACAGGGCTCCTTTGCAGTCTGATGTCATTTTCTGAATCAGACCAAGGTCGTTTTACTTGAACCAGCCCATATTGTAGGACTAGCATATGCAATCTTTGCTTTCAGTTAAGAGTACATTTTAGAATTAAAACAAAACTTACTTTTGCCACACCTTTTCTCCCAGATGAACACTTTTGTAATGAACAGTGAGGTGGTCCCGTCGGCCAAAACATTTTCCACACTCCTCGCACTGATGGGCCTTTTCACCTAAAGAGAACCAGCACCACAATCTGAATTAGTCCTAATTTAAAACAAAAACAAACAGGAAAACTAAAAGCACCCAAACAAGGAAAATCAAAGGTCTGTCAAAAAATTACAAATAGTCATAGCTACAATTATAGCTAGTTTAAAACCTAGTTTCTGCGCTCCTGCCCAGCCATCCCCAGCATGTGAAAGAGAAGCAGGAACAGAATGAACCCAATGCTCAGTGCAGCTCATGCAACACTACACCTTGGTTCTATATTATGTCTGAATGAGTGTTTATAGCAAGACACATTTAAATATGTTCTGCATTTTTCAAATCACTTATTTTGTAGAAAAGGAGCTGTTCTGTTTTGATCCAAGAGGAAGATTAATTTTCAAGACACCTCTTTTCCTGTTACACTTTTTCTCTTTTGTTGGTACCACTTTTGGTGGTATAGGTCTTTATATCTGTACAATACTATCGCTTAATTTTATGGTTAGAGGTGAAAACAGATTGGAGCATTCTCCTTTCTTTAAGCAGGCCACTATGTTATGTGCTATACATGTTAGGTACATAAAGAAAAACAGCATAACAATGGTTAGAGAAGCGGACAGGATATCTGGGTTCTAGTGCTTACTCAGCTCCCTGGGTGAAACTCCCTGGGTGACTTTGGGACAGTCACTCATTCACAGGCTAACCTACATCACGTGGTTGTTGTGAGGATAAAATGGGGAGGAAGATAATGTAGACCACCTTGAGGAAAAATTATGGCGTATAAATGCAAAACTAAATGACAAACACATATTTGCCTTAACGATGCACAAAATGGCTGTGTTCCTGAACTCTTTGAGAAAGCAACATCAAACACCATTGCCTACCTGAGTGTATCTTTTTGTGCTTTGTCAGATGGTCATGACGAATAAACGTCTTTCCACACTCTTCACATTCATACCTCTTATCATCATGGTGGACTCGCAGGTGAAGCCTGTAATCAATAAGCGCCCAACATTAGTTCTGGGAAAAGTCTGTTAACCTGAAGCCTGAACTCAGTCTGCCATCAGATAGCACGCTCTGTGATTTATCAATAGTTCAGCATGCCATGGGATAAGATGCTAAACTGCTCCCTCACACAAAGACTAAGAATCATTGGGGTCCTACTGATTTGCATATTGTTTTTTAACAGCAGAGCTTAGCTTAATGTTTTCAGTCAGAATACTTTGGAATTTGGGGTGGAGAGAGGAGTAGATCATATGATACAGTTCCAGGCTGCAATCTTACACCCATGGAACTCAGCAATTCATTTCTTGGTAGACATGAATAGTATTGTGTAATTAGTAGCTCATTTTTACTAGCAACTGACAGTAAGGAAGTTCTTAATTTCTTTTAGCAGCATTTTTGATCATTGCTATTAGCTGCCCTGAGCCTTTTTAAATAAAAAGTGTGATATAGATATATGCATAAAATTGGCAACGGCAGCATAACAATGTAGGTCCTGTTACCTGTATGAACTCCCATGACGAAAACTCTGGCCACAAATACTACACAGATGAGGCTTCTCTCCACTATGGATTCGCAAGTGCTCTTTCAAAGTTGTTCTGGAGGACAAAAGTTGAATTATACAGTGACAATGCTTTCTAGTCTTTTTACTGTTCCAGGTTGATTCATACAGCTGAAGTCCCACAAAGACAGGGAATAAAACAGAGGCTGCTCATCAAAAAGATCACTGGAAAGGCAAGTCTCCAGCTGGAATACCACAAGGCTGGAACCTGGCAAGCATAGCCTGTCTTCCTGGGTATCTGAAGAGGTAACGCCTGCATGGCTTCAGTTACAGGGCAGTATAGAAATGAAACATTGTTGTTGTTGTTGTTGTTGTTAATAACAGACTGCTGTGCTCTCCAGCAAACTCAGTCTACCATGCCAGAGTTTTTAAAATGACAACCACCAGAATGCAGTAGCTGCCTTGAGCAATATTTAGTGAAAAGCAGCAAAACAAATTTAACTCCCCCATTACATAATAAAAGTCATTACTTAATTTAATACCACTATCTCAACCCAGTTCAGTCCCCTAGCAATCACTAAGCACTGATTTGGTTCTCTCCACAAATTAGGCTAAGCAGTGTCCTTCACTTAAAGGATGCCCCAGGAGCAGTGCCTTCTCCATAAAACCAATGTAGAGCAACTTGCAACAAAACGCTGCAGCGAGAACTGCCTCTGGTCTTGTGCCTTTTTGGCTATTCAGCACACCTTGGGGTTCTCCTGGTCTTGCTGATATAGCCTCGTTTGTGCATGGATGGTGCCACTTCGGCTACATAAAAGGGGCTCAAAGAATGAGTTCACCGTTAGGATATATAGGACCTCTGCCATTCCGTTATTCAAAGGAGGGCAGCTCAAGGATACCCCTGGGCAAAGGCTGCCTGTTCCCTTCCCTGGTTACAGCTACCGTCCTTTGGGCCTCTCCTCATCTATACAGCCTTATCCTGGGCTTCTTGATTAAAACCTCAGTGTTCTTTCCTTATGCAGACAAAAGAGCACAAGAAGATGGTATCATTAGGTTTGTGGGAGTCCCAAGGATTGCAAGCATACCCCCCGCCCCCCCAAAAAAAGCCTTGTAAGGCAATAAACACAAAAGCAACCCACTTGGGCAAAGAAGGCTGACTGGCTATGCATCCGTGTGCATGCTTACAGGTAGGGAGTTGGGATGGAGTGGAGTATCCTGGAAGAGGGCATGGCTGCCCATCTGGCACCCCCAACAGGACTGTTCCACATTTGTTGCAAGCCCTGTTCATACTAAAATGAGATGGAATTCTGGAAATACCAGACCAACCGTCTTGCATTTATTATATAAGTATTCTTAAGCTATTGCACATACATACAATTAGTCATTTACAGAAAATCCTGCATGTATTCGGTCACATACGTTTTATCACCGACCTTTCTCTAACTGATTTTCCACAAATAAAGCAAGTCCATTTTCTTTTCCCTCCATGAGTGCATTCAATATGGCGCTTCAGATTCCCAGTGTCATTAAACTGACGACCACAAATGTCACATGGAAAAGGTCCTGAGAAGAGTCAGGAATACACATTACAATTTTTTTCTAACTTGAACTGGGTTTGGTCATAACCAAGCACATTATTTTAGAGCACAAGAGTACAAAGCTAAAAACATTCACTTGTTTTAAAGTCTTTTGAAACAGATAGTGCAATTTCTGTATTTGGGTTGGCAAGCACTGCCCTCTGCTGGTCATTGTTTTTCACTTGCTAAATTCCTAGCGGATGAGGCAAAATCTGTTTCCCTGCACAGCACGTGACACAGATGATCCACTATGAGATCTCTTGCTGTTATCTGATGTTTGTAAGACCAACTGCAATGCATGTGTGCATGAGTGAGCACTAATGTGGATGCAGTCCAGTAAGTCCCCAACTTACGGCAACCCTATGAATGAAAGGCCCCCAAAATGCCCCATCCCTGACATTCCTGTTTAGCCATTATAAATTCAAAGTGTCTTCCTTTATGGAATCAATCCATCTCTTATTGATCTTCCTTTTCTTCTTCTGCCCTCAACTTTCCCTAGCATGATTGTCTGCTCCATGATATGCCCAAAGTATGACAGCTTTGGTGTTGTTCTTTCTCTTCCGGGGAAAGTTCTAGCTTTCTGTTCGCACTTTCTTCAGAAGTCATTTCCACTCATTGCGTCCTTCTGCCAGTAATACAGTATCATCTGCATCTCTCAAATTATTGATGTACCTTCTACCAATTTTCACTCCTTCCTTTGATCCTAATCCAGCTTTCCTTATGTTCTTTGTACAGATTGAACAGATGGGGAGATAACATTCAACCTTGTCTGATGCCTTTGCCTTTGGGAAACCATTCCATTTCTCCCCATTCTGTCCCAAGAATAGCTATCCACGTACTATGCTGGGTACTCTATCTGCTCTGGGTGCTTTGCTCCTTCCAAGTGCTTTCAGAGCAGCTTTCAATTTTCAGAAAAAAACACACACACCCAGTAAGCTGTGAGATATAGAAAGCCTAGACTATAACCAGATCAGCTGACGTCTCCAACCACCTGTTTCTCTTACAGCATGTATATAAGTTAGGGGTGTGCATGGCCCTCCAGATGTTTTGGCTTACAACTCCCATCATCCATCACCATAGGCTTTTTGGGACAGAAGTGATGGGGGCCAGAACATCTGGAGGGCCCCAACTTTCCCACACCTGTACTAAAACATTATTGACATTATTAAAATGTCATATTTTCTTGTTCTGAGCCATTTCTTAAACACAATCCTGAAGATGACTTACATGTTGGCAACTCACTGTAGCCAATTTAACAAATATATATAGAAGAAAACAGGTTTACATTTAATATCAACATACCTAGATGGAACTTTTCTTGATGCTTCAGTCTCGCAAAGCGGGATTTAAAGTACTCTTCACAATAGGTACACTTGAAAGGCTTATCCTGGGTGTGAAGGATCATGTGTTCTTCCAGATGAGGCCTCCGTGTGAAAGATTTATTGCAAATCTGAAGTGACAAAACAGCCAGCCAACCATTACCTATAAATTCCCACTGGAATCTGCCAATTGCAGCCTTCAGCTTCTTGGAGGCAGGCAGGATATCAAGAAATAGAGAGTGATTTGGCAATATTAGTACTCAGGTAAGCAGCTTTACAGGTAAGCATGCTCAACCATTAAGATACTACCTTTTAGGGATGTTTGGTCATTTTGCTATAAGAAGCAGAGGTGGCTGCATGGAAGGAAAAGCAGACTGAATGGGGGAGACACTTGACCTCATCTCTGAGAGATGCAAGTAGGCTTCTTGGGTGATTGATATGCAAACAGAAATGGATCTGGCTAAACGGGAGGCCAACAGAGGCACAGAATGAATGGCCCTCTTAAAACAAACATACATACAACATACATTCCACGTAGAGGGAGCTCAAATGGCAACATGCTTTTTAGTAGATGAAAACTGCCTTGTGAAAGTCTCCACATGCCACGAAAAACATTAGATCACCATCCATTCAAGTGCTACAGCATGCACAGAGGAGTTGTAGTGGCAGTAAGGATGAACAACATAACCAAATCTCCAGCCTTTTCCCAATCACACAGTGAATGCCACTCCTGGACTCCATTTCTACTGGAAAAGTGAAATAGGAAAGCCAAGCTACAGGTTCAGTGCAAGAAAGAACAGTTATTAGGACAGGAAATGAAGCAGGAAAAGGAAAACATTAAAGAGACTGTAAGATGGGCCTCTGCCCAGCCAGAACTGAACAGCAGATCAAGGACTCCTGAATAAGGATACTGAAATTTCTTTGTTAAGTCCCATCAATCATGTCCTTCTGCACATGCCATGGATTTCGGTCAGCTACCCTGTGCAGGAAGTCCACACTGTGACTCTGTCCAGCTGGAGTCAGAAATTATTATAATGAATTTGCAGACTGCTAACACACAAGAATGGATAAAAAACCAAATGAAACCTTTTCCATCCTGGGAAAAGTTTGCCAGATCTGTGATTTGTAGAAAATCTAAATCCTTTGGAAACCCCTGAAGCATATTTCATCAGGAAAACAATATGGGGTATCTTGTCCGATACTGTTACTTAAGAGAACAATCAAGTTTAACAACCAGATGGACTAAGTGGGTTATGGGATATTGATCTTCACAACTGGACAGAGTTTTTTGACAAATTTGACAAACTTTTCTCCCACAACACCTCCCCTTTCCTCATTATCTGCCACAGACAGACATGATTAACTATGTGCCTAGCCTCAGTGTTGACTTTAAATGCTTGTTATCTTTAGCCATGTATATACAGTTGTAATTCCCCTGATGTGTGATTTTAATTCATTTCAACTATAATATGGCAAATAGTTGCTTTCAAGGGTCTTACTGTTGGTTCTTTTTCTCACCTTTTGGTTTTCCAAAGCATTCAGAATTCAATGTTCTGCACATGTAAAATATGCATCCTTGGACATTAAAGCATACGTTGTAGGACACGGTATATCCACGAGTACATATAACAGAACACAGGACTACCCTTTTGAGATTCGGTGATACGGTTTGTGTACTTCAGGATCACTTACCCAAAAGGCTGATCAAATTTTCTGAAGACACAATCCAATTTATGCTAAGAACAAGCTTCACATTTGGTTTACACTGCCTTTCAAAGCTGAGAAGGAACCAAGGGCAAAAAGCAAAAGGCTTTCAGCCATGCTCTGAGATTTCCGAAGTTCCTCTCCCATTGCAGCTCCGTGTGCCTCATTATTATGCATTCCAGAAAGTCATGGAACCTTTTGGAGCTGTTTCCAATGTAATATGAGAAGCTGCATTTCAAAAGAAAAATCCAGGCAGCCCCACTGTTTGCAACTCGGTTCCCTCAATCTGAGGCACAGTATTCAAAACATCAAAGAACCAAACTGTTAATATTTTTCCCAGTGAAATCAAAACCATGCTTACATCACATTTCCAGCCTTCACTCTTTTTCTTCTTGATGGAGAGAAATTCCTGCCCATTTTCAGGATGGAATCTAGGAGTGGAGAAGGAGTTTCAGTAAGAAACTATTTATTCAGGAAATAGAAAGTATATAATCAGTTTGAGCTGATTATATAAACACTTCTTGGTTTATATTTTGGTTTCTGTCATTCTTCACATAACATATATTGAAACTGCAGTACACGTGTGTCTTCCAAATTCACAGCAACAATGCAGCTGTCAAATATTGAATACAATTTCCTTCCTTTCCTTAAACCTGGGATGAAGAACATTTGGTTCTCCAAATTTTCCTGAATAACAACTTCCATCAACCTTACCCAGCATAGTCAATGGTGAAGGCTGATGGGAGTTGCAGCCCAAAACACTGGAAGGTCCACCTGGTTCCACACACACCCTTTTTTGAAGTTTTTTTAAAAGCACCTTGTATGTGTGACTTCTTCATGTGTTACCATGTACAAGTGGTGTGAAAGAAGGCACACAACAAGTGAGTGCATCAACTGGCTTGCGGGGTGTTAGCACTCTCAATCCCATGGAAGCACAACAAGTTTTTCACAAGTGGGGGTCCTTCCAGATAGTTATTTATTTATACACATATTTATAGGCTTCCTATAACTTCCGAGGCTTTCCTAGGTGGCTTACAGTACATAAACATATTAAAACAAAATAAAAAGTTGGACCACAGATATGTTGGACCATAACTCCTATCATGCCCAGTGAAGCATTTTATGAATAATCTTCCATCTCAATGCATTCTGTATTGCTTCACACTGAAAAGCAATCACATTTTCACACTTGGTAATCACCGTGGGTCAAGTTCTATTGATACTTGCCTCTTTACATGCTTTATCAAGGTTTTTTTGGCAGCATGCAGCTTGTTACAGAATGGACATTTGTGTTCCTTTTTATGGAATTCAATCTCATTGTTGTGATTCTTTCTATGTACAGTTAAGTTAGATTTGGTCGAATAGTGCTGATGACAGATATCACATTCAAAAGGCTTTTCACCAGTGTGCACACGAGCGTGGCTCTCAAATTTCCCTACAAAAGAAACCGGTTGCATTAAATTCTTCAATAACCAGCTGGCAGACAGTATTGCTAACATCCACTATAACAGTGATGGTAAACCTTTTAGAGACCGAGTGCCCAAAATGCAACCAAAAACCCTCTTATTTAACGCAAAGTGCCAACACTGTAATAAAACCTGAAAACTGAGGTTTTAGTTTAGAACAAACAACTTACAGCCAGGCCAAGCAAAAAATATATATCCTTGGCAGTGCACTGACCAGCCATGTGAAAGCTCGGAGAAGTCACAGCTAAGGAGTCGTGGCTCGTGACATCACCTGGCACCACTACACCTTTCCAAGCATGCACACGACCGCTATGTGAGCTGTTATCCGATGCTTGGCTGCTGGGGTGATGCTGGGGCAACTTGGCTTGCGTGCTGACAGAGAGGGCTCTGTGTGCCCCTGTGGCACGCTTGCCATAGGTTCGCCATCACTGCACTATAAGTTACAATCCTGAGGGCACTCTCAGACATTGAGTTTGTAGCATTTATGCAATGAATTGGAAGCTAGTGGTTATCCTTCAAGGAAAACTTTCCATTTTAAGAGGATTCCTTTCTGCAGCTGGGAAACTGGACTCTCGCTTCCCGCCTGACACCTTCCAGTTCTGTTGGACCACAGCTCCCAACATGGCCAGGCATGATAGATGTAGTCCAACATATGGGAGTAGGTCAGGGAAGAGTGTACAGGTATCCAAGTGATGTTTGCAACTTCACTGCCCTCCCCACTGGATCAGCCTTCCCAGAGGGGACATGCCATGTAAAACATGTAGTAACACACAAATCTTCACCTCTAGCAGCCAATCTTCAATCCTTGCCTTCGAACCAGTTGGACTGGCTGCTGGGGGTGGAATTAGTGAGATGCTTCTCCAGACTGCATACTCATATTACAATCAGTTTCAGCTCCTTGGCTGAGCTTGTCTCAACAGGCTGCTCATTCACACTCTCATGCCCTGGAACATCCTGCATTCAACAGGTAAACTCAGACAGGCTATCTCCGCTACACCATCTAACACAATGCTCTTAAATCCATCCCGACTGTGGCACCCACGTTTTATTTTGTTTTAACCCTTAGTAAAGGCCTGGTTCAGCTGGTTGACATGCAGAGCCACTGATGCAGTCCCATCCTGGGTGGGCCATGGAAAGGACAGGTATTGTGTATTGGAAATGAAGATGTGAACATGAAGCCTTCACAGCGTCAGTGACTGCAGCAGCCCTTTTGGGAGTTGCCGTAATTACATTCAGCATCTAAGTGACTGGCATGCCGCCACATTGCAGTTCATGCAACTGGTACTTTCATGTGATTCCAGCTGAATGGCAGGTTGTCTCCACAGGCAAGCATCTGAATCAGGCCTCAGTCTGACACCCTCTTTCTCACTCTGAAAGATGGTGGTTAATGCCACTAGGAAAGTCAACCTACCAGCATCAGGACTAAAGATTTAGAGAATGCTCAAATACTAACCTATCTGCATTCAAACTTCTAACAGAAACATTCCCATTTTTTCCAAAGATGACATAAGCTCTTCAGAGCCACAACAGCAAGTCCCGGGAAGGCAGCCATGCTTTGGATAATGCAAGCATGCAGACTTGGTCAAATATTATCTTCACATGCCTTTCAAAATGAAGGTCTTCAAGAGACAATATGGTTTAACCCCAAGTTACTGCAAAATACTGCTACTGAAAATTAGGCAACTGTATCAGAACTTCTGTACAACATCTTTTTAGTATACAAGAGCTTGTAAGGTTTTAATTTTAATATGTCTCTGGATGTGACATGCTGCAAGTTGCAGAAGTTTTCTCTGGGTAAGCACAGAAGGGGATTATATCTTACAAGTGTCAGTTACATACTTTGCTTAATACCACTAATAAACCTGTATGTTGAAATATTCATCTCCACACAGGACATGGACATTCTCAAGAAGAGTACAAATGTTTTGTTGAGCCCCCGAAAACAGCCAAGAGGCAAAGTATAACTTTGAGTTTGATTTCCATCTAAACATTTAGATTATGTATTAGCATGTTGTATTTTATGGTTTTAATTGTTGCAAAATTATCATTATGATTATTATTATTTCAACTTATATTCTGCTATACTAATCTGAAGACTCTCTAAGTAGATTACAATATTACATAATAACAATATTACATAACAACAATAATAAAAATACAATAAAACAGAGAACTACGCAGCCAAGGTGAGATATCGATAAGTTAAAACAGATTAAAGCTAAAAACAGTATAAATAACATCCAAATATAAAATCAATTGTTAAAATGTCTGGAGGACTGTTTTTGCTTGACACCGAAAAAATTGTAAAGATGGTGCCAGGCCAACTGCTTCCGGAAGGCCATTCCATAAATGGGGTGCAGCCACTGACAAGGCCCCTCCTCTATTTCCTATTCCCTTTACCTCCTTAAGGAATTGCTTTCTCAGAAGGGCCTCCTCACCAGATCTTAGGGATTGGGTAGGTATAGATGGGAGCAGGAGGTCCCGAGGGAACTTCAGCAATTGAGCATTATAGTCTAAGAAATATAGAAGTCAAATAAGTAAAGACGCGAAGAAACAATGAAGCGAAGAAAAAATTGTTCCCTCTTACCTGCTCGATCAAAGGTTTTATCACATTTAGGACACTGCAAACATTTTTTGTTACTGTTCTGAATAATGACTGGAATATACGTGGAAAGACTGCCTTCGGATATATTTTCTGTCAGGTCACTAGGCTCCTGGCTGTCTTTATCATGCTCTTTTTCACTTTGCTCTTCAGACTCTGTATCTTCGTCCGTGTCCTCCTCCTGCCTCTCTTCATCAGTGTTATAGTCACTCCTGCTGTCTTCAGACTCATTGTTAAACTCACTGTTCTCCTTACTGGGACTGACTTTATCTAAATTGCTATCAGACACATCTCCACTTTCATTGTCACTCTGATCAAACTTAGCTGGGCACCTGCGATTTCGCATTGATCTTCTGGTAGAGATCTCTGGCCTCTCAACCATTTTTAGCCCATGCTCTTTTTCCCAAGAGGATTTGTGTGCTTTGGATAAGTGATTTTCTAAGGATTTCTTGTAACAGAAGTTGCGACTGCACAAAGTGCACTGGTGATTGCTTGCTACTTTAGGAGTTAGTTCACTGCAGGTTTCTACCTGTGATAGGTTCCCAGTTCTGTCTTCTGATTGCAAACTGGAAACATTTTCACTATTTAGCAGTTTAACAGCATCAATAATATCTAAAAACTTGGCTGCCTCTAAGATTAAAGGGATTTCATTTTTATACACAAACAGCTCTGAAGTGTACAGAAACTCAAGCAGATGACAGAAAACTGAATGAGTTACATGATCCAAGGTAACAACATTAGTATTTGGATTTTTGCTCAGGTAAGCATGGAAGTAACTACTCCCAACAGCAACTACGACTTTGTGGGCACTGAATTCTTTTCCATCAACAATTATGAGCAGATCGCAAAACGACGATCGCTTCTGTCGGTCATCATTTAAGTATTTGAGCAGATTTCTGTGGTACTGAAGAGAACTTAAAAGCTTTCTTTGATCTGGTGATGGAGGAAGTTCTTTGAAACAAACAACCTTGTCTGTTGTTGCTGCTCCTACAGAATCAACACTAGTTTTCTGCACAGAGCCCGCTACAGGAAGTTCATCTGGAGATTCCCTTTGATGACCACAATGTGTTTTGTCATTTAGATTTGCAGTCAGCTTTCTCCTTTTCTTCATTGCAATTGCGCCACTTTAAAATCAGGAACTTCATATGTAAGCCAAGGTCTTTCAAATGGACAACTGTTTCAGTAAAACGTGAAGGTAAGACCTGCAAAAACAGTAAATGTTTGTTGTTGTTTTGCTCGAAACCTAATTGCTTGTAATTTATTAACAAGACATGACCTACTTGCCAACAGTGAATGTGGTTTGCACATATTCATATTTATTAACTTACTCAAAACAGGTATTCCTCTATTCTGGAGACTATAGTGTAATGTTGGACTAGGATCCAGGAAATGTGGGTTCTAGTCCCCACTCAGCCACAAAGCTCACTAGGTGACTGGGCCAGTCAGAGACTGTCAGGCTGGCCTACCTCTCAGGACTTGTAAGGATAAAACAGAGGAATAAGAGGATCCTGTAAGTTGCCTTGAGTTCTTTGAAGAAAAAAAGGTGGAATATAAATACAATAAATACATCTAAAAATAGTTATGCATGCAGCATTCACAAAGTTGTTTTTAAGCAATTATTTTTTAACATGAAAGTGTTAGAGTAGAAGAATGTTGTGCAAGTGTATAAATATTTTATATAAAATATTTTATATTTTTAAATACAGTATATTTCAGATACGAACTACAAAGTATGGAAAAATCTGTATGTGCATACAGAGGAAAGCATGTGGAAAGATATAGTTAGAATTGTTATTTAGCAAATAGGACTGAGTTTTCTATATGTGTCGGAGGTTTGGCATCCTTTGCTAGCTCAAATGTAAAAGTAATTTTCATTTTTCTGCCACATACTGAAGCATAACTAGGCAAACACACATATACAGAGTAAAATCCACCTCCATGGTAGCAGAGGTCCTTTCGCATGCTGATACTTTTTCCCTCTCTCTACTATCTGCACACCTTTATACTGGCTGTAAAGCTGCTCCAAAGTGTTTCCTAGCACTCCAGAGGGGACTGTAGGGGGAACTGCTCCCCAACACCACTGGATACAACTCATACCTACAAAATTTTTGCCATGGGTGCACCGTATACAGACAAACACACAATGATCTGCTCTAATTATGCAATCTCAAGGGCAGAATCAAGCAGAGAGAAATAAAATAGGAGCATGTCAAATCAAGCCTAGTAACACAAGCTTTGGCAATCAAGCAGTTAGTGCTGCCCTATGATGGCAATGCTAAACTCATTTACTAAAACCTAAGCTCCACATCTCAGTTTCAAGTCAAGGAATCTAAGTAGGCTACAGCTCCAAGTTAACAGGTTTTACTCCCAAATAAGCATTGTTTGGACTTCAGCCTTAGTTCCAGGTGAACATGTTTATGATCTGGCTACTAAGTCCTTTAGATGCCAGTGAAAACTTTCATCTAAAAGTTAAGCTTGCCCCCAGACTAAACAGATGTGGCTTAATTTTAACATCCTAAGGGAGGTAGGAATAATTTCCTCATCCACTGTCGCATGAGCTCAGTGTCTCATTTAAACCAGGTCAGTGAAGTACCCACCCAAATGACAGGCATCCCTCACTTATGTACCAGAACTGCAACAACAAACAAGACAACATGGTTTTTACAAGACACCAGGTGAGTGCACAAGCAAGCTCTCCTTGCTTCCCAAGCATCCGGCTTAAGAGCTTGGCTACACATGCAAGAGAAGGAGATGAGATTGAAGTAGTCACGTGCAGAGGACCATACCACTGCAGCCAAAGGGTTGAATTTCTCAAGGCTCTCCTAGGTTCTAAATATCCAGCTTGACACAACTTCAGCCACAAAGAGCTAGACTGGGACCGCTCCCCCCAATTTGCCAATGGCATATTTATAGGGAACTTAGTCTACATGAAAAAGCATTTAAAGGTTGTATTTCCATCTGTGCTCTGAAAGGGGTTGTTCCACCTTAGGTTTTCACCATGTCATTAACTACTACATTCTGCTGTACGTGGCATGTTAGAACTCAGGACTAAACAAAACACCTATTGTAAAGGATTGCTTAATACTACTTTTATTTTGAAGGGAAAGCAGCCAATTAGATGAGAGAAGCAATCAAAGGGTAAACAGCAATTGCTTCTCTTCTCCCTGGGAAAGAACAGCAAGGCAGGGTTTCCTCAGTCAGGAAGCTACTCATACCAAGTCCCATTCCCTGTGGCAGCACCTCCTTGGAGCACTGTCATTTCTTGGGATAGACAAATGCCCATGGCTTCTCCCTCCTGTATCCTGTCCATCCTCTCTGGACACCTCAGCAAGGTTGATTAGCCCTATAATTCCACACAGAAAGAGAGGCACCCAGTAGGTACCTCTGCTCACTCACCTGCTCTTTCTAGGCAGTGCAACATCATACTTTTCCTCCATGGTGGGGATTGGGCCCCAACAAGCCCAGTCCTTCACACCACCCAATGAAAGAAGGAGGGTGAGTAAAATAAAGGTGGCAGCAGCTCCTCAAAGGCTTGATCACACTTCTCTTGTTCAAGGTCCCTTCACCACACCACCCAGTGATAAAAAGCAGGCAGACAGGCAAAGGGTGGGTAAGCAGTCCATCACTTCCTTCCACTTTTCTTGGCCACTAAGTCCAATGTTTCCTGTTGTATCACCTAAACAGGCAGCAGATAAAACTGGAGGAGACAGATGAACCACAGGAGAGAGCAGCAGTCATCAGTTCCTTCTGAGAAAAGAAGGCTGAGGAAGCAGCTGCTGAATCCTTTTCCTGGTCCAGCAGGGACAATTTGGTTCACTGGGCAGAATTCCCACCACTGCTGCTGACAAGGAGAATGCAGGTGAGCAGCTCAGGTGGTTTTTCCCTCAAAAACTAACTCTCTGTGCTGCATTACCCAGAGTGAGGGGAAGTAGTGATGAGAGAGGCAGCTGTTCCTGGTCCATCTCTCTTTCAGCAACACCCTGCCACAGTGCCTCAGGGAGCTGAACAAAAGGGAGGAGGAAAGAGCAGGAGCTGCCTGCTGTGGCTTCCCAGCAAGCCCCTGGAAACATGCGACTCCAGAGAAAGAAGATGAAGCTGCAGCAATAACCACCTCCATCAGACTGCTCTACTTTTCTGTCTCCCAGCAGGAAAAGACTGGGAAAGTCACTGCTGCTGCTTTCTCTGATTGTTCACTTGGCAGTTCCCTCTGCCACCTGCTAGCAAATCCTAGCCTTGTAAGGACTGGGATTCATCAGCCAGGCGAAGGGACCCTGAAGCCTGCTCCATGGAAGAGCTGTCACTGTGTCTGCCTGCTCCGTCTCGTGTGGGCTCACTCTCTCACTCTGGGCTGCACGAGAAGCGGGTCCACCTGCCATACTGACACTCAGGGGGACAGCGTAAGGAAACACAGAGTGAGAATACGAGGCGACTGTTCTTCCAGCGACCAGCACTCTCCACTCCCCCATCCCTGAGGCAGGACAGGACCGCAGGCCCAACCCTCCCTGCCACGGCGCCCGGGGGTCAGGTCAGGAAATGTGGCTGCAGCTGCTCTTCCTTGCACGCTTCCCCATCCCAGGACTCAGAGGAGGGGTCAAGGCTGGGGGGATTTCCAGGGGGCTTCCTTGCTAGGGAGCCCCCCTCCCCTCTTGCAGCCTCTGATGCAGGGCAGGGCAAAGCAGGAGCGCTTGCTGATGGCTTCTCGTCACAAGCTTCCCCTCCCGATGCAAAAGCGGCAACATTAAAGAAACCTTTTTTCTCGTCCCACGGATCCTGTGTGAGCAGACCCTTGAGGCTCCAGTGCGTCCAACACGTGGACTAGGCGGCCGCGTTCACACGTGATTAAGGAGGAGACCCTGACAACCCACGCGCGGAGCGAGGCGCCAGCAGTAACCCCCCGAAAGGAAGCGACCGCGAGCGCACCCCGATCCCGCTGTTCCCCGCGCCCCCCATCCCGCCGTGGGCAGGCAAGACCCGGGCCGCGCCCCTCGGAAACCCCCTTGAAAAGCCCAGCCTGGAAAGGGGGAGGAGCCTCTTGTCCTCCCCCCCCCCCCCCCGGGGGGGGGGCAAAACCCGGGCCCCCCCCCCCGGAAACCCCCCTGAAAAGCCCGCGCGGGAAAGGGGGGGGGGCCCCTTCCCCCCCCCCCCCCCCCCGGAGGGGAGCGACTAACGGCTAACTGCACGCGGAGAGACACACACCTCTTTGCCCATTCGCCGCCGCCGTTCTGAGAAGGGCCTCAACCCTCAGCCAGCCCCCCTCCGCGGTCCCCACACCGCCGCCCCCACCCGCCACTCTCCTCCCCACCCCCTCACACACCCCTTTCCTCGCCATCACTTCCGGGTTCCGGCGAAGGCTTCCGGGAGGTCGCGCGACGTGTTTACCCTTCACAGGCACCCGCACGTGCATGGAAAAAGGGGCAGGGCTAAGAGAGCGAAGGAGCAAGCGAGTGGCAGGAGGGCGTGGCGGCGGCGGGAGCCCAGCTCGATGGAGCTAGAGGAACACGTCCGGTTCCCAGTAGACATTGAGGGGCTGTCCACGCAACGAGACGGGCCCTCGCTGTGGAGAGTTTGGGGGGTGGGGCAGCAAGTTCGCTTCAGGTCAAAGGAGCACGCAGCGCGCCGAGCGCTCCACGCAACCGCTGCTTCCGGTTGTGATGCGGCTCTTAGTTTTTCCGAAAGCACTCGGAGCAGATGGAGTTCAAGAGCAGAACTTGGACAGCGATTGTTAGGACAGAATGTGGAGAAACGGAATGGTTTCGCAAAGGCATCAGGCAATAATGTATGTTATTTCCCTGTCTGTTCAATCTGCATGCAGAACATATGCTCAAAAAGTGGGTTAGGATCAGAGGTTTGGCAGATTGGCAGAAATACAGCAGGACCCTCGTATCCACTGACTCAGTTTCTGTGTTTTTAGTTAACCACAGTTGGCCTTACCCCAAAAGAGAAATTGTAAAGTGCCAGAGGGAAGTTGTAAACTGCTTCCTGTAAGCAAAAATTCTTGATTAAATAGGAAAAGAAAAAAAATCGTATGCTGTCATAAGGACAAACAAAACTGAAAAAAGAAACATATATATAATATAGTGTTTGCTATTATTTGTGGTTTCAGGCATCTGTTGAGGGGCTTGGAACCGATCTACATGGATACTGGGTCTTGCTGTAATTTACAATATGCAAATGATTTCATATTACTGGCAGAAAGCAGCAATCAACTGAAATGATCCCTGATAAAAGTGAAAGAAGAAAGCACAACAGCAGGACTGCAGCTGAACATGAAGAAAACAAACCTAATGACTAAAGAAGAATTACACAACTGTAATGTCAACAAAGCAATTGAAATTGAAATACCTCCTTCCCATCCAGGCTGAAGTGGAACATAAAAGCAGCTCATAGATGTCAGGCATATTTGGCAGAGGAAGATCTGTGCACCATATCCTTACCCTTAGCTCTTCTTGCATGATCCCTTTAAACACCTGCTTCTGTCAGATTCCCAATAGAGAATGCCCAGGTATAGAAAAGGCAAGAGGGAAAGGAAAAGAATGGATGGGGTGAGCAGCTTTTCCCAATTTGCATCCAGGTTTCCTTCTAAACTTAATCTTTCTTGTAGCATACTCACAGATGGACCTTTAGCAAGAAAGCACACAAGGATCTGTGTAATTCAACTCTGGGCATTAGAAGAAGCCTTCAGCAGGGCATCTCAGACTTCTTCCTCAAGCTGAGGGTGGAGAAGCTCCTCACATTCAGCACCAGTGTCCTGTGGCGAACTTGGCAGAAGAGGAGGGGACATCCCTTCCTTGGAGGGCATCCAGAAAATGTTGGCAGGGATTTTTACTACCCTGATCCCCTGCAGCTACTAAGAAGCTTTCTCACCTGCACATCTTGCCTCTTTTTATTCGGTGTCTGATTCTGCCAAGGCCACTGCCTGGGAACTGGTCCCTGGCCCATATACTTTGACCTAGTGCTCCATCTCCAAGAGAAGGGCAAGCAGAAACTGTTTCAAGACCCCAAGGACCAGAATCTGATTTTTGTATGTTTTTCTGGCTTCAGCCACAAAGGAAAACGTTAATGAAGTCGGCTGCAAACTTCTCGGGAACGCTCAGCCTCCCTGTAGCAAAAGGACTCCAAGTGCTCCCTGAAAAGCTGGCTCTGAGCATCGTTCCCTGGCAGGTTCTTCTGCACCATTCTTTCCCAGAGCAATCCACAGCTTGCAACCTGGATGGTACGGGAGGCTTTCCTTGCCTCGGGGCCAGACAGTGCTTGCGCTTCTATCTGCCCTCCGTGGGAAAGTTCAGCTTCCAGCAGACTTCAGAGGCCCTCCTCGCTCTGCTGCCAGCTTCTTCCTTCAGGCAAGGGCCGGCTGCATTTGATGAGACCCGAACACATCTTGCAAAGGAGACAAGCCTGCCTGTGTGCGCATAGAAAGGGCTGATTCTTCTGGCTGAGAATGGCAAGTGAAGACCAAGAAGCAGAGGGACATGAGAGACTGTGGTGGAGCGAGCTCTAAGGCACGGGCCCACTGAGTCTTCAACCGGTCCATACCCAGATCAGAGCGCGCAAAATCTCTCGCAGGACACCAAGCTTAGCAATTCCGCTGCCCCCAACACCCCCCCCACTTCAAGCCTGCTCCCCACCCCACGAAACCTGTGCCCGCTTCATGCACACGCATGCACCAAAGAGCAGAGCCTGTTCCTCCTGCAGTCGGACAGCTATTATTTATTATTTAGGGCACCAGTTAAGCTGGGACTTAGGGAATGGAAGGGTTTTATAGCTTCCCGATTCACGGGGCACTTTGGCAGCCAGTTATTGCACCGTGGGACCTGCTGGCTTAGCTAAGAGGAAGCGGGAGTCGCACGTGGGCTGCAGGGAAGCACACCGAGCAATCCTGGGCGACTTTCCCGGAGGGAGGCGGAGGCAGCGGGTGGTGCCCGCCCGCCCTCCTGCTAGAAGCACCACCCGCTCATCCAACGCCGAGATCCGAGATCGCATCTCCACCGAGAAGAAAGAGGCCTCAGGGCGGCCTAAGGCACTCTCTCCAAGCGCAGGGAGAAAGGTGGGGCTAGATGAATGACAAGTTGGAATTAAGATTGCTGGGAGAACTATCAAGAACCTCAGATATACAGACGATACCACTCTAATGGCAGAAAGTGAAGAGGAACTAAGGAGCCTCTTGATGCGGGTGAAGGAGGAGAGCGCAAAGGTTGGCTTGAAACTCAACATTGAGAAAACTAAGATCATGGCATCCGGTCCTCTCACTTCCTGGCAACTAGATGGGGAAGAAATGGAGGTAGTGACAGATTTTATTTTCCTGGGCTCCAAGATCACCGCAGACGGGGACTGCAGCCCAGCAATTAAAAGACACTTGCTCCTGGGGAGGAAAGCTATGGCAAATCTAGACAGCAGAGACATCACCCTGCCAACAAAAGTGCATATAGTCAAGGCTATGGTTTTCCTAGTTGTAATGTATGACTGTGAAAGCTGGACCATAAGGAAGGCTGAGTGCCGAAGAACTGAGGCCTTCGAATTGAGGTGGGTTAGGCTTAGCTAAAGTACGTGACTGTGAGAAACATGGAAGGGTCACTTGGGAGACATGGGTTCCCCCCCAAAAATCCCAGACATCTTGCTGCAAAAGGGGGCTTTGACTTCCCCTTCACAAGCAATAATCTCCCTGGGCTTTTATTTATTTATTTTATTTATTTAAAACATTTCTATGCCACCCCCATTGCAACAAAGCCTCGGGGCGGCTCACAAAGAGTACATAAAACATACATAAATAATAATATAACAATTAAAAGAAGAAGAAAACAACAACAACATTTAAAAAACCCCGGTGCATTCTCGGCTAAAAATTTTAAAATCCTAATTAATACAATAATTTAGCAATTAAAATAAGTTTTAAATAGAAAGGTTTTAGCCTGGCGCCAAAAAACAAATAACGATGGCGCCAGGCGGACCTCTCTGGGGAGCACATTCCATAGATGGGGCGCCACCGCAGAGAAGGCCCTCCTCCGGGTACTCACCCTCCTAATATTCACGGAGGGTTCCCGGAGAAGGGCATTCGTTGCTGATCTCAAGGGACGGGAGGGCATATATGGGCGCAAGCGTTCCTTTTGAAGTTTGATAGCTGCCATTTTTTTTCAATAGGCAGCAGAGGAGACCTTCTTATCTGTACCTTTAGCAGGGCAGAGGACAGGGTGGGTCCTGCTAGCCCTTGTCAGTAGGGATCTCACTGCCCATCAGTTCTCCCACTGCAGCAACTGTGCTTGACTGCTGTTGAACACAGGTGGCCATGCTATTTATTTTTTCCCCCTGCATATATTTAGGGGAAGTTTTAAAAAATACTTAGCCACCATAGGCAGCCACTCCACCTGTTCCTGATCTTTAACAAGGAATTGCCCACTCCAACACACTATATTTTGTATGCCTTAGAAAACTGCAAATACCAAATAGAGAATTTATTGTGAGTTCCTGTGACCCTAACTTCTTCCCAGCTTGGTAGTTCAGGTGATGAATGTGCATGCCAGCAGATCAAGTTCTGGTCCAGTCTTCGGTCCAGCTCCCCGCCCCAATTTCAAACAGGTGATCTGCGCTAAAAGAAAGAGATGTGACATGTGTTGAGGACAAAAACAAGAATCCCTCTTGTTTGTTGTCTGACCGTGAGAGAGACAGGCAGCACTAGCAAGATATATGAGGGTCTTGTTATTTTAGGTGCTCACTAACTATATAGAGTGAGCCCACCTCCAGTTGAAACAGCTGCCTCAGTCCTCAGGCATAGCAAATTTATACATTTAGCTTTTTGCACTGATTCGTAAAAGAAAAAAAATCACAGCAGAAAACATTCTGTTGCTTTTGTACATGGTTATGTTGATGTACACTTCTGGTGTCCAGGCTTATCTTTATATATTCTGAGCTTGACAGAGGTTTATTTATATTTTTGACTCTCTTGTGTCTCTGAGAAGACCCTAAATAACTAACCCTTGTTGTTTGGTCATCAAGAAAAAAATTATACTCTTCACTTGCATGTTCATCCTCTTCTCTCTTCTCTTCTCTTCTCTTCTCTTCTTTCTTTCTTTCTTTCTTTCTTTCTTTCTTTCTTTCTTTCTTTCTTTCTTTCTTTCTTTCTCTTTTGCTTTATTAATAACAAAGACACCTTTTAAAAGGATGCATAAGTGCTTTGGGGCGATGGTTTCTTGTTAGTGTCACAAATGCCAGCCAATCAGATTCATTCATTACTGGAAGCATCCAGAATTGGTTTCCATTCCATCCTTAAAGCTCAACCCTGGAGAGGAAGGGCATTTCTGCATTTAATCAGACATTAAAAATGTCACACCTATCTTAACACCATTTTCCTACTTGTAAAATTAGGGGATTTTGATCACAGAATTTTCTGTAAGTTTCTTTTAAAAAACACACACAGTTATCTAAAGTCTCTGACTAAGCTACTAAATGTTCAAAAACATTTTAGATTCTGGAACAATACAAAATAGTTACAAGCCTCTAAGGAATATCACATCATTGTCAAATATTCATTCAGACAGCATTCATCTTAATTTTGATGCATTTCCTACATGCTACAGCTTGGTACAAAGCTTACTTCTGGAAGATTGTCATGATAAATTATTGTTCATATACAATGCACAGACATTTTATCCATTGATCCAGAATTCTGAACAGTTTGTTCTCTCTGAAGTACACTCAGTCCTAGTCAAAGCTTTTCATAATATTTTAAACTTTCAGGGCTACCAGCCTAATTTCTGCCCCTGGTAAAGTCAGTTAGCACATTCCCCACTTTGCAGTTGAGAAAGTAAGATTACTGTATTCATAGGACAGCCAGATTGCTTGACAGTCTCTCACACTGCACTCCTTTGGAAATGTCCTCAATGAAAAGTAAGTTTGTCCTGGTCCACAAGGAATTATTCTTTTGAATACAATGCTAACTCCAGTTTTGCACTTACTGGGAAGCCCAGCTACACTCAGTCATGCAGGGGGCAGGACAGGAGGGTGAGAGGTTATTGAGTCCCACACACCTAGAGTGGCCAGGGGTTCTCTTTTGCATGGACAATCCTCCATTTGAAGGACTGTCCTGTATTTTTTGAGGTTCTCTATTTGTCCTGTGTGCCTGTCGAAGACGTATTTTTTGAAGAGACTCAAACCCAGCTTCACACCAGCTCTGAGGCTGCTGCTTCCTAGCCCTAATACCAAAACAAAGATCTAAGACCTCTGCAAGGTCCGTCTCCCCCAGCTAACAAGCATGGGGGAAAGACAGCCCTGCATGAGTTGCACCAGATATGGGGCCACAAGCTAGTAATTTCCGACACCACCATTGTTCACTCTTCCACATGGGAAGGAACAAATACAGGCTGTAGCTACCTTTTATACCCCCCAGTTTTGGGCCACAAAGTAACAGTTCCCAATACTACAACAGTTCACTGATTCTCACCAGGTGGACCATTCATGTTGGAAGATCAGCCATTCCACTTGCCCGGTGGAATCTGTTGAATTAAGCTGGGCCCATCTCATTCAAATATCAGTGGCAAATAGCCTCTTGTTCCCTTTGTTCTACTAAATGACCTTTAAATTGCACAAGTGATGGTTTATTCTAGAGTAACAGCATTAGCATTAGCATTTGGGACATAACTGGATACTGCACCTTATTCTCCAACCAGTCCCTGGACAACATGAAAGGAGTCTACTTAGTCAATCCACAAACAAGACTGATTCACATGTACATGTTCATCACTTGATATCACACTGCTTGATCTTGCATCCAGTGACTCACAGCTGTCATGTAAACAGATGTTTAAAACGTCTGTGTGGCAAAGTCAAAGCACTGCCTGAGCACTTCGGGTTCGTGATTGATACTGCACCTAGGGAGATGGTTACCTGCTGATGCAGCCATCCAGCATTACATATGCATGTGTGAAATTAACTTTACCCTTTCCAATTTTGGAAAAGCGCTGCCATTAGCTGTCATGGCGGAAGTGGAGACCTTTTTGAAAGGTAACTGGATTGCATTCCATAGATGGGTGCTAATTAAGGTCCCTCTAGTCTACCTTTTTTTTTTAACATAAAGTAATCAGAAGCAAATTTATAGAATGTAATATCTGCATGCTGAGAACAAGGATCAGAGAGAACAATTCACACTGACCTTGACCACTCAATTCTTGCAAATGTGAAGGCAGACGTGAAAGTTATGATAATGAGAAGAGCTGTTCTTAAAAAAAGAACATTCGTTCCTCTCTCATATAGCAAGATTAGAAATTAATGACACAGAATAAACCTTTGCACCGAATCACATGAATAATCAGCCAGTTGGCAAAGATATCATAGCTAGTTTTCTGAAAATGTCCATCATGACAGTGGAAGTATAGGCTAGTTATCAGGTTACTATGGCAATATGAGGACATTTAACTTATACTACTTTCGGGCACAACCTGACATATTCTATTCTTGACTACTGAAGACCTCCTATCTATTAACCGCATTTGGCCCTGCAGCCATTAGCATCGTGGCAATCAGACTTGGATTTGTGCTTAACCTCTACACCGGAAGCAAAGACTGCGTTCAAAAGAAGCCTGATGCACATCCTCTTTTTTGGACTTCGACCCATTATATAACGCAGCACCTATTTTACAGAAGGCAAAACAGCGAAGCTGACTAGCTGTGGCCAACGTGGGGATTTTGGCTCGATTTTCATTGAGGTGGTAAGCCTGTGTCTAAACCAACCTTCACCAATAGGGTGTTCTTCATATGCCTTGCAGTACAGCTCCCAAAATCCACAGGCCACATTTGTTTGAGCTGATGGGAGCTGAAGTCCAAAGCATCGGAAGACGAAGGCTAGACTTGGTTTTGGCTGATCTTGCTCCTAGCACCCTTTTTGCTGAGCGACCCACCAGCCGGTGCAATGCTGTGGCTTGGTGCTGGGAGGGCCACTCCATGTGTGGCCCACTGGAACATGGCAGGTAGCCTCCTGCCCTCCCTTGGATTGGATTATGGAGGATTTGGGGTTCCCACACTCAAGAACATCCCAACAGGATACTAGGCTAGGGTGAGATGAACACAACACAAGGCCACTCTTCCCATGAAGGGGTCTGAACCCCTCCAAAGCTAGCATGAAGGAGGAGCAAGTTGAGTGTTCTCCTCGCACCCACCAAGAGCACCCACCCCACTGCCCGGTGCTCTAGAGCCAGCTTTTCTCCCACTGTTCCCTCGTCTCCAACATACCAGATAGGAATGACAGGAGTTCCCCTGCAAGCACACACTCTTCTTTTTCTTGGAGTCTGGATGCTCCAAGTGGTGGCCTGCTGCCTCCGGCTTTCTTCATTTCCTAAGAATGTGTCAAAGCCCTATCTGTGGCATTCCCTGGGAAATGAAGATGGCAGCAGCTGCAGGCCTTCGCTTTCCTTCCAAGCAAGCCCAGCTGCCAATAAGAGCACTTGGTAAAGACGAAGAGGTGCAGGGCACCCTGGGAGTTGTGAGGAAATGTTCCTGAGAATGCTCTAGTGCCATATTCAATTGTTGAAGGATATTGTTGAAGGCTGTAAACTTAGCCATACATTTAGCTAGCCCAAATTAAAGCAGGAAAGGAATGACAGTGTCGCAGATCTCTTAATAAAGCGCTGCACCTTTCGATTGCTTGGTAATTGTTACTGGGGAAAGTTTGATTATAAGGAACAGAGGAAGGAAAGAGATTTGGTGGTAAATCTCAAATAGTACTCCATCTCAAGTGACGACTGTTGTGCAAAGATGCAGAGGCTTTAGGAACTGGTCATCTCAATGAAATGTTTTTTTTTTCCTTTTAAACTTGTTAGACTGTTGGATTTTTTTGTTTAAATATCAATAAATTGGTGCCTTTGGTTTTTAAAAATCCAGCTTATACTAATGCTTAAAGGTAAATGGCAGCGTATTTTAAACAAAATGGAGAAAGGGAGGGATTGCTCTTGCATGTAAATGTGTACGTTTGAGTGCCAAGTTATTATTGATTGAATTTTTGAGTCACCTTTCTCAAAAGAACCCAAGGTGACTTACCCTATTTATTGAAACATACAAGGCTCCTGTGAAGGACAGGGGGATTCTGGAGGCCATCTTCTCCACTGTGTACCTCCTGTCTGGCAAGTCAGCTAGATTGTCAGTTTTGGCTGCCAAAATGGGGATTGCAGTAGCCACCTTCATGATCTCAGGCAAAAAAGTTGTTGTTTAAATAAGAAAAAAAATGTGATGTCACAAAAGGGTTTGTGTAGGGGCAGAAATAGGACTTTCCCCTGGGATACTTGCAAGAGGATAGGAGGGATAGAAGAGATCCACAACCCATGATATGCTTGGTCATTTGTGGGGCACATTGTGGGTCCTTGGATGATTAACCCACACTGGGTGGCTTGTGCTGCAGTGAAGGTGAATATGTTGTCTGGACCCATTGTGTCATTGATGCAAGGTCACCGTTTTGGCAAAATGATGAAAGAGTACAAGGAAAGGACAATGGTACTTCTAGAATATTAATAAATATTGCATTTGGGGACCCAACCTTATTATGCACCCAGAGAAAAGGTGACTCTTTTTGGCACAGAATGTGTTCGGCCTGATTGGAATCATAGGTGAGGGGCATGCATAAAGTCCACATTCAACCCTTTTATATATACCATTCAGCTTGGATCAAGTTCATTTGATCAATGTCCTATGACTATAACACATACTTTTTAAACAGACAAATTAGCTTCCATCAGTGTTAATTTTGAAGGTCAAGCCCTTATGCTTAATGTGTGAGTAGATGTTTTGCCTGCCAATGGTTGAAGGTTCTGTTTCTGCATCTCCAGATCAAAGGATCATGTAGGAGGAAGATGCTGAAAATCTACTCCCACAGGGGAGACAATCCTGGTCAATGTGGACTAATGGATTTGCCTGAGATGTTCCCAGATGTGACTTTTATTATGGAAATGCACTGCCTTATTCATAGGATTTTAAGGCATACAGATGGTGTTCTCAAGGGTCATGCTTTTCACCCTAACATCTGAAAGCAGGCCTAAGACAAGAGGTTTCCTTATGACACTGTGATATTTTCAGTGGCCATATTGTATTTTCATTCTGGATCAGTCTGAAAGCAGGCTTCCAATGTATTTAGAATTGTGTTGCATGTAAGTTTACCTTGGCCCAAATGGGAAGGAGCTGTAGTCCCACAATCTCAGTCCCTGTTTTGCATGTGGATAGTCTCAGTCATTCCCTGGAACTATCAGGTTGAGCTGGGAAAAGTTCCTTTCTGGGAACTGTGTCCAGTCAATATTAACAATATGAACCTGGGTGGATCAATGATTTGACTTGGTGTGAAGCATGTGTAACTTCCACCAGCCCTGGGCATACAAGTACAAAAGTTTACCTCCAGCCCTGGAGCTGGAAGGTACATCCCTGGCCACCTGGAAGCAGAGAACACCTTTCTGAGTTGATGGGCACCTTTGACACTTCAATAGTGTGTTGTGAGCACTTTCACAAAACGGCTGTCATGGAAGCTTGTTTATTGGTGGGCATGGCTGGTCTCATAACATTCATTTCCCAGAAGACAAACTGGCAGTCCTGAAGGAAAACTCATTTGCCCAAGAACCAAAATACAAAGCAAAGTTGGGGTCTGAGCTTCAAAATACCAATTCTTCTCTGTTCAACCAAAATAAAGATGGTGCTGAAGGGCAGTGTAGTGTTTTGAAGCATGGCCACCTCCATAAAAATAAATGAAAATTTAAGAAATGAAGTCAAAATGGGAAGGAGGGAAGAGCTGAATAGGTGTGAGGAGAATTGTAGAAGGCACTTGGGTGCCCATTGGCCCCATTGTGGGCATGCTTACTTGTAAACAATCAAAAATTGTGGATGTTGGGTCAAAGGCTCAATCCTCATGCCAGAGTGCCACAAGCATTGATTTCTCTATGCTGTCTCTTGCTTCTACAATTGGGAAGACACATCTTCTTGAATGCCAGATTTTCCCAAGGGCTGCTAGTTGCTGATCCCATCTCTGAAAGGTAAAAAGTTCACAGTCCGCTTAACATGGACAATGCAGGAGACTCCGGCTAAGAATATTACTCCCCGCTTCTGAAAACCTCCTGCAACCTTGGCAACAGGGGAGGATTATCAGTACAGACAGCAACTAAGTGATTAAACAGTTCATTAGTAGGAAGGTGGAGAATACTAATGGCAAGATTTTCATCTGTAGTGACAAGGGCTGACCTAGCATCCATCTCTGACAGCAGAATCACTTCCCGGTGGTATTAACCACACACCACGAAGGGGGAAAACATGTTCTTTGTGCAAGAACACATCAAAGGTAAGGATAACCAAATCACTCATGATATCGAGTTCTGCAGCTCTCGAGGGATTCCTGCAGTACCTTAGCAGAGTCACTTTCTTTTTGCCTGTGATGCATAAAAGAAACCTGAGAGGTGCTTTACATGCTAAAATACAAGCAGTCCCAAGTCCCTTCTGGAATTCAGCAGTTTCTTTTAACTGACCCAATGCAGGTCTTACAAGCGCTGCAGCACGTGTTCATAAAAGAACCTGAAAAAAGGCAGCACTGATGCATGTTGCTATTTCAGCCTAATATGCTGTTTGATGAGGCTCCAGTAATGAAACCATGGAGGACTCTTTGCAGAATAAAGCTGCAAACACAGCTTTAATTAATTTAATTTAATTTAATTTAATTTAATTTAATTTAATTTAATGTAAGCCCCATGGAATATTGCACCCAGGTACGTGAACAGAGGATTACAGTGAAACACATTTTGGGCAGTGAAAAGTCCCACAGTTTTTTTCAGGGGGTGAGGAGTAAGCAGCACAGCATCAAGTACTGGAAACACTTTGGGGATCAAGATGAGATGAAAGGCAATAGAAAGAATAGAAACAGCCCAATAGAATTCTATTTCAATATAAATATTAATTTTCAGTAACTCGCGGATCTGGGTCAAAAGGCAAGCTATAAATCAAAAAGGCTGGTTGGGTTGCTCATCCACTGCAGCTTTCATTTCAGC